ATATATATGATATACAGGTATAAATATATTCGATATTTTGAACAGTATTACAGTATTATTATAATAAATATATAGAATATTTGTGACAAACATTTCTGCCCACATATAGTGAACTAATTTTTTTGTTATTCATTTGTTTGTTTGTTAATAACTTTACAGTTAATGTCTCTCTACAGTAGATAAATCACTCCCTAGTGTTATGACTATTATTTTCATTAATGAWTTTTTTTTACTCAAAGTTCGTTGAATTTAATGGTAAAAATCTGTTGATAAAAATGACATTATTTTTAACTTTAGATTTCTTTGAGCGTTAAAAACATATAAATTAATCAATTTATTAACATTATCATTATGCCACTGCATTAATTCACATATTATAACTCATTATTAATTTATAAATACTATCCACAAAATAAATAAATAAGTGTACATTAAGTGCTTAAGACATAAAAAATCGTAGTCAATGGGAAATATATATTATCTAAAAAATGCTTATTTTTCCACAAAAATTCTCAGTCTTGATAAATATCCAAGTTTTACAATCACATAATCTTATAGTTAAATGAATAAATTTTCATAATTTTTTTTCAATTAAAATTTATTTATAAAAAAATCAATKACAGTCGTAAATAGACATCTGTCTATTGATTGTTAAATAATAAGTTTCGGTATAAAAAATAACATTTCCGGACAACAATAAAAAACAATACAATTTRTTCTCTCAAAGTGACAAAAGTAATAATTAATTTCAATTAATTGTCATTTTGAACTAATGGTCAAAAATATTACTTTWAAAAAAATATTTGAAATTATTTCAACTTATGTTATATTTAATAATTATTTATATCAATTAAAATTTTATAATATACTTATAATTTTTAAATAACATTATTTACATTAATATAAATTTGTAAAATTAGTCAAAATTAAAAAATAATTTTGTTATTTAAATTTTTGACAACAATTAAATTTCAGGTGGATCATTTTACAATCATTGCGTAAAAAATTACTGTACAATATATTCTAAGTTATAGAGTCGACATCTATTGATAGATAAATTAATAATTATTAAAAGATTTATAATGTTAACAATAATTGTTATGAATTAGTGTTATTTTATAAATATATTTTATATTATACAAAATATTATAAAATGCTAGACAAAAATCAATTTTAATAAAACAATATTATATAAATATTAATTTTAATGAATATTATAAAGTTCACTTAATTTTTTGTTTATTATAAAACATTCAAAATAAAATGTGAACAATAATTTAACTAAATTTATTACTGAAACTACACGTAAAGCAAATCAATGCCTACACCTGTGAACCCCAAGTGTATGATTGTATTTAGTATTTAATCACATCCTGTATTGTATTTAATCTTTTAATCTATTTTAAATTTTTTTMAAAATAATATCACTTTACATGATTAAAATAAAGTTTAGAAATAGACAATAATACCAAACAATAATTTACACAAAAGATCACTAATAAAACTTATAGATTGTATTGTATAGTATTAGTTAATTTAGTTTTATCACATAAATAAAGTTTTGAGTTAATAAAATTGAAATAATCATTTTTTAGAAATAAATAATTTAACACATAATAAATTAGAATTTTTATAATAGACTAAATTATGAAACTAATTGTGAACACAATWTTATRTTTAAACTTATTGATTGAATTAAATAATTTAGTTGTAAATTGTATGTCAGGAGAGCACCGGACCATTACTAGAGGTGCTCGACGTAAATCTCGGACCCTATTTCATGACGACCAGGACGTACTCATCACAATGATTGTTGTAATTCCCTATTATTTTCCACTTTGGGAACGCTTTTACAACACCAGCACCGAGTTTGGTACCGATGCTGCGTTAGCCGAGTTTCCAAACTTACCGCCAGGAGGTCTACCCAGTTGTGGTGCTCTGTGCCGAAAGAAAAGGTCAGCAATGGGTCAGCGATTGGGTCGACAATACATTCAATATGACGAACAGGTAATCTATTTTATGATTGAGTTAATCGCCGCTTTTCCGGTGCCTATAATCCCGAACCCATACGCCGAGGCCAACAAAAGAGTTGTTCGTATTAATCAAAATAATGACTTCAATGCACTGTCCGGTCTCAATGGACTCCGGGAGTTGGCCGGTATGTTATGTTTTTAATTTTGATAGTTTTTATATTTCTATAATTTAATTCCCAATATTTAAAAACAGGTTTATTTGATATAAGAGACAAAAATTCAAATAATTATAACAATTCCCACTTTGATGACATTGATGACATTGATGACATTGATGACATTGATGACATTGATGACATTGATGAAGATTATAATAATAGTAATATTGATAATAATAATCATAATATAAATTATGAAAATGAAGACAAAAATTCTGAAACTAATTATCAATTGTTAAGAAATTTGACTTCAACTCCCAATCCTAGAGGACAGTCATACTCAGGAAGAAAACCTATTTTAAATAGAAAATCTTATGGAAGTCCTCTGACTGAACCATTGGGTGCTACCGGAAGAAGTCTTAAATTTGATGACCACATGAATGCAATATATAATAATAATAATAATAATAATAATAATAATAATACTAATAATAATACAAGAAAACTGTGTTTCAATGGAAAAATAAGTCGTATTCAGTCGTCTCATAATTTTAATGATCACTGTTTCTTAAATAAAAGAAATAGTCATTTGTTGAGTGCCTACGAGTCGGTGACAATTGACAAACAAAGTATGGCATCGAGTCTGACACTCAACTGGTCGTCATTGATATCGACASTCGGCTGTCATTTCACTGAATGGTATTTCAAAAATAAATTGAATTCATTTTTAATGCGAAATGTATTTATCGGTTCACTGAAGACTATTTGCACTAACACTCAATTATCGTATTATTTTACAATTTTTAATAAATATTGTAAATGTTTAACATTGAAAAAAATTATCTAAAATATATAAATTATAACTTTTATAATTATTAAATAGTAAAATTATTTATTTAATCTACTAAAAAGTTATTTATAATAAAAAAAATTATAATTGTATTATTAGTGTACATAAATCTCGAGAAAATTGTCATAAATAAAGCAAATGTTAATTTAAATTTATATTATATTAAACGACAAATTAATAAATAAATGAAATAATTATTTGTCAAAATATAACATGAATTTGTGAGAAAATGTCAATAAATGTACCAAAACTGAAGCTAAATGAATGGCAATGAGATGCAAGTGATGAGAGAGTCTTAAACAGCGGCGCCGAYGACGACAGCGGCGATGCTTTTAATTTCAATTATCTGGTCAACAATACGTTGGATTTAAAAGTGACCAAGGGCAATGTTGTAGATAAATTTAAACTGAATAAAATTGTAATTGGTCATTTTTTAATTAATTGACTTATTGGGCAGACAATTGCAGTCGACTATCAATTTTACTATTTTTTAACAGTCGACTGTATATTATATAGCCAATGATGCAATTAATTAAAAAATGACCAATTACAATTTTATTCAGTTTAAATTTATCTACAACATTGCCCTTGGTCACTTTTAAATCCAGCRWATTGTTGACCAGATAATTGAAATTAAAACCATCGCCGCTTTCGTTGTCGGCGCCGCTRTTTAAGACTCTCTYCAAGTGATAGGGTTGGGTACATATAAAGCCGACAACATTGGAAATGTCATAACAATTGCTATCGACTGCTGGTATCGTCACTTTGATTGCGCTCAATATGTATCGTCACATATAGGCTGAATAAAATTGTAATTGGTCATTTTTTAATTAATTGCATCATCTATCTGTTAAAAAATGAAGAACAAGCATTACATTTGGCCATCAGTGCCGGTAAAGTCAAACGAGAGGAACTCTATGTGACAACTAAAGTGTGGTGCACTTGGATGGCAAAGGGTAGACCAACTATTAGTGCACAGAATAGCCTAAAAAGATTTGGTTTCGATTATTTAGATGTATTGCTTATACATTGGCCAATACCTTATGCACAGGTAGATGATGTCTTCTATACGTTAGACTTTAATGGACAGATCAAGATTGACGACACCATTAAGTGGAGAACGTCTGGAAAGAGTTTGAAGAGATTAAGAAATCTAGTGATTYAAACCTATTTTAAATGCTATATTAGTATTATTTACAATYAATTCAATATTTTTATAGGTCTCACACATTCAATAGGTGTTTCAAAGGTTAATTCAAAACAATTGGAATCAATACTAAAAATAGCAACAATAGCGCCGACAGTCAATCAGGTCGAGTCTCACCCATATCTTAGTAACGAAAAGTTGTTTCAATTTTGCCACAAGAAAGGCATCGCAATGACTGCATTCTCACCATTGGCCAGAAAATGAAATTGTATCGACATATCACCACTCAATGAACCACTAATTAAGTCTTTGGCAAAGAAATATGGAGTCTGTGAAGGAACTGTATGTATCCGTTGGCAAACACAGAGAGGTTGGTCTGTAATACCAAAGAGTTCAACAAATGAGAGAATTATGGCTAATATTTCATTTTAAATTAACTGACAATGAAATGAAATCAATGCTTGACTTAAACAAAAATCTGAGAACATCTAAACATAACAAACATTCATCGGAACGACACCCCAACTATCCGTTTCTTATTGAATACTAAATTAAATCATTATTATAATAATATATTATACTTTTCTAATTAATGCTTAGTGTATTTCAATTAATTTTCAATTTATTTAAAATTTTACTAAATGGATAGTAACTATATTTTTATGATTGTATTGTCAATAGTTTTATTTTACTACTAAGTAAAGTTAATAGTATTTTTAAAAATTTTATACTTTACTAAACATTTACATAAACTTTATCTAATATTAATAGCCAAATATTTTTTGTTGWTGTATTACAATAGTAAAAAAATATTTTACTATTTATTAACTCATTAAAATAGTTTATTACACTTAATATTAACTTATTAAATATACTGTATTATACTTATAAGTTATRAATACTTATAGATTATATTATAATTTAGTTTCGTTTTTAGTTAGATTTGGTTTGAAGTACTTCTGACAGGTCTCGAGACAATGTTCTTCGAGTTCAAAGTTATTGCGATTGCCTTTACATCCGCCGTAATCAAACTCAAGACATTTATTATCTTTTGGACTGTAATACCATCGATAGAGTAATCCTCGACAAAGACCTTCAACGGCTGGAAGCAAACATTCTTCTTTGGTTTGATTCAAAACTATTTCATTTTAAATATAATATAAAATTTAATTAATATTTATTAATCAATCAGTTAATTAGCATTTAATTGATAATACAGTAAACTTGTTGTTATAAAAATAATTATAACTTAAATACCCGGTTTCATTTCATTTTGGTCATCACTTTGTCCTATTGCTGACATTTTAAGATTTTGATCGCTATTAATAAAATATTAAAACATTAGTATTAATACTAATTAACCGAAATAACTGCTTATATGATATCATATAAATTAWATGACAAAACTATACCTCGAGTTATCGATACAATAGTACTCACACTTGAGTTTGCTATCAAATCTATTATCATTACCCCCACACCCGGTATAAAAAAATATTTTGCATTCATTTGCTGACTTGTCATAGGCATACATAGGRTTATAGCCATCACATTCACCCGGGTCCTCTTTCAATGAGCAATTTGCTAAAATTTTAAATATAAAATAACTAATGATATTGTATTTATTTTATAACAAAATTTGTTAATTGAATTGTGTTTATTGTTAATGACTATAACTACAATATGACTTACGATGGCCATCAATTATTTCTATAAATAATAATATTAAACAAAATACTGAAAATAAAATGTTATATGATTTTTGCGACATAATTGTGTTCACCATTAGCCGTGATATTCATATACAGTAAAACACTTGCAAATACTGTACAGTATATTATAGTTATTATATATGTAAAACAAATGGTTTCCCAATAATTTATAATAAAACAATTTTATTAATAGTTATTTTAACATATATTTAATTGGCATTTACATATTTATATTAGTTAACTAAATTATTATATTCTTAAATATGTTAAATCATAAATTTGATTAAAACTATTTTTTTATTATAAATACCAAGGATTATTAAAATAGCATATTTAAAAAACGAAATTTATGATCTAATTTCTAAAGATATTAAATTACAAATTACATTATAAGTAAATATATGAAAAAATTATTTATTTATTTAAAATAAATCTTATATTTTAGTTTTTAAAACTTATACTATCTTGTATGTAGTTAAATATAAAGTATTATTATGCAAAATTTTATTTTTAATATAAAATATAATTTACAGTATTTTTAGATGATTAATATACATAAATAAATTTTAAAACTAAGGGTGTATTCATATAGATTTTATCTAATGTATAACCCGATTGTTTATATATATATATATTTAGTTTGCTTTGTGTCTGCATTTCAAGTGTGTTAACGATTTACAAAATAATAACAAAAAATTAAATAATTATCAGGTTAATACCCTTGTACATTTACATGAAATATTATATACTTATTAACTATAAATCATATTAAAAATAGTTTTAATTATTTAATAATAATCTCAAAAAATAAATATAAAATTTGAAACATTTTATATAATTTATAAATAAATACATTTGAAAAATTAATTATTTTTCAATTTTATTAATTAAAAAAATATCTTATTAATAACAAATAATATAATATATTTTTTCAATTTTAATTTACTATTAAAATGCCATTTTATTATGTGGAGATAAACATATTTATAATTTTCAATTACACTTTATAGATCATATAATAAATTATTGATAAATAAGTAAATAAATAAGTAATGAGATCAATATTGACGTCAGATTTGCTGAGAGAGAGAGAGAGAGAGAGAGAGAGAGAGAGAGAAATAAAAAAAWTGTTATATATTTAAATATATAGACTGACTGTTCAAACAACACAATTTACTGATGAGATGTGAATTAAAATAAAAACATATAAATTTTTAATTCATATTTTGGTTAAAACCCGACTAATAAATACATATATAGAATATAAACCGGATTTATAATACAAACCTAAATATTTTGCGATTACTATTACTAACACCATTAGTACCCGTCGTATGTGCGAAATGTACGTCAATTGCCTGAAGGCTTAATGATGGCAGCGGTTGGCAGACACTCATTATATTATAGTCTCAAATCATTTAATAGATTATAACACATTTATTATGGATTAAACATATTTTTTAATAAAATGTATCTTTTTGTGGCATTTTTTTTATAAACAGTCGTAAATAAAATGTCTGAACTAAACTAAATTTAGTTTTATTAATTTAATATAGATTTTTAAAATTTAATTTATAGTTACGGTAATTGATTTTCATTTAATTAAATTATAAATATTATATAACAGTTAAAAAATGATAAGCTAAACCTATTGTAGGGTTAATATTAAAATTGCTATAAAAAGTTTATTAAATTAATTTAGACTTAAATTAATTATAATATTTTTATATTATATTTAAAAGACAGATTAAACATTAAATGTCAATACCTTTGCTCTGATTGCTTATAAAAATAGAGAATCAGTAAAAATGCATAAAAACTTTTAGGTATTCATGTTATATCCCACACATGACATTCACAAACACAACTGTCCTCGACCTTGCCTCAGGGTTGGCCTTACATATACTGATGCGCTTTTTATATATATATATATATATATATATATATATACACTTTGTATAGTACTTGTACTTAACTGTTGAACGTTATATGACTTTAAACATAGAAATCTATAACTATGTGAAACTTTGGTTTTATTCATTACAATTACAACAAAAGTCTATTGAACTACAACTTGATGTATGATTTTTCTTACTTTTAATTCCGGATCTTTCAGAGTCACTGTTTCCCCAATTTGTGATTATATACAATATATATATATATATATAGTATTTATAAAACTTCAACTATACTTTACTTTAGATATTTCTCTCTTTATATTATTATTATTATTATTATTCATAAGAAAGACTCGCTGTCTTGTAAACCCAATTATAGGTTATCCTCATTAATCAAATTTTATCCAATAAGCAAATGTTTATTTATGTACATTTATTTGCTATAATTTGATGGCAATGAAATTAGACATATACTTTAATACAAGTATTTGTATATTAATATACGGTATTATACACAATATATTATATAATATATTTATTTACAATTTATATAAAAATAAAATGTTAATCTTAAACTATTTATTAGTTATTATTAATCRATAATTATATAATTTGAATAATATGTTATAATTATAATCTTATAATCAAATAGGAAGGATAATATAGTGAAAATCAGGATTCATTGATTTAACATTTCAACGTTTTTAAAAACTAATAAATTTAAAGTAATTTTAAAAATTTTAATCATATTTTTATAATATGATTTAGTTGGGGTCAATATTTTTATGTCTTGTATTTCTGTCATATAATTTTAAATATTTAATTWACTTTTTAAATCATTGGTATTTTGATGACATTTTAGCCTAAACTTTTATTTTAATTTTAAATGTGTCTTAGTCATAATGTTTAATTTAAATGTTGTATTATACAATTTTAAATAAATAAATATATATTATTTTATATGTTTTAATATTATTTTTAACCCTAATTTAAATATAGTCATTTTGATAACTTAACTATTTAACTACTGTATAAATTTTTATACATTGTTTAATAAGACTTTAATTAATGACAAGTGTTGACACAAACTGCATCTTATATAAGGATGAAAAATAGGTTTGTCTGTATAAATACAAGTATTTATTAAAAATATGTTTAGATATTGAGACTACAGTGTAGTAGTGACTGTCAAAAGTGGAGCGGATCTCAAGTGAGAGAAAAAACAAGACTTCAAGTTTTTAATTTAATATAACGTATATTAGTATATACTGTATGTATATATAGTATAAATAAATGTGTCTTAAGGAAGACGAGTAATGCCTTAATGGTGAGCGCATTGCCATTTGAGTTGTTTCACCGGTAATTCATAAAAATAATTTAAATAGCAATCCCTGTGCCAAACGCACTGCACTAACAGTTTAGTCAATGGATCAGAATTTAGTGATCAAAATAATTATTGTTTTTAATGTGTGGTTTCATTGAGTTTATAAACTTTTGTGATATAGTTTTCAGACAATTTTGTGTCATTACTTAAATTATATTATTACTATTTTTTTAAAAAAATGTTTGGAGTAAACTATAGATATTGTTTTTATAAACATTTAAGTGCATTGTTCATGGACATTTAAAGCATTGTACATTGGTAAGAATAATTTGATTTTTATATTTTAATTATAATATAACTTATTATATATTATAGTTTATTTTTTAATAGAAAATTATTTAGAAAATAGATTAGAAAATAAGTTTATTAATAAAAATATAAACAATATATATATATATTTATAATTTGTTGGATATTTTTTATTATATATTTGTGTTTTTAAATCAATTTTCTTATACAAACTAATGATAAATCTCGTGACCCGTCAAGTATTGCTTCTATTTCTTGAAATACATATTTTCCAGTAGTTTCTCGATATTAAAAAATTCAATGATAACTACATTTACTTGTTTTGTGTACAAAAACTGTCTGTTTTTTGTAACTATAATACTAAAAAATGTAAATTTGGATCACATTGTTGTTTACTACTACTTAAAGTTATTTATGTAAATCAATTGGTGATACACAACTTATTAAGTTAAACRCATTGATTAGATGTATAAAAAATACAATAATAGATAATAAAAACTGTTGGGTAAAGTACTTACGGATGAATCTCTCAACGGATCAGTTGAGTTGTGGTCATAAACTTTTAGCCTAACTCACCGATCGGTGGGATTTTCGTCCGTCTGTAAGTTACCTTATGATCGACCGTTTATTATCTAATTATTATTATTGTATTTTTATAATTTATGAGATAAATTGTATTTAATATTAATCTAATATTAGTTTTTACATTTAATTTATTAATTTAACATTAATTGTTTATTTATAAAAATATATAGAATATATTACATTTGATCAATTAGATAGATTTAGTAAAAATTAATAAAAAAAACAATTATTTTTATTATCTTGTTATTGACTATTTGTAAAAACATTGGGATTACTGAATAGTTAGTCATATCAATAATATTTTAAAATTCACTGATATTTTATAGTAAAATTAAAACGAATGCCAAAAAAGTATAGATTTATTAAATAGTAAGATAAGTGTTTAATATATTTTTTTAATTCATAAATTTGTAAAGCAATTGTGTAAAAATTATAGATTAATTTTTTATCTAATGACTATTTTTATTACGTTATGATTACTATAATAAATAACATATAAGCAACTTTACACAAGATTTTATTTTTATTAACTATTTTTAGTTTACATATGTATTTATTGCATATATAATAATAAATGTTGTAAATTAATAATATATTACAATTTTTAAATAATTTATCATATAATAGTAATAAAAGTATATCAGAATATTATTTTACTGTTAATAATTTTATTGATATTTATCATTCAGTTTATCAAAATAATAACATTTGAATTTAATTAAAAATAATTTTATTACAATTATATACCTAAAGTCACAAATTGTAATCGACTTAGTAAATCATAGAAGTGTTAATGTATAACATAATTATTTTTTAATAAAGATTTAAACATTTAATTGATTTACGCATTTATTTATGTAACATTAAGCATGTAATAAATATAAATAATGTTTTTAGGTTTCTTACAATTATGTCAAACATTTAGCTATATTATAAAATTATATTACTATATTATTATTACTATTACAAATAAAATAAATATTTAAGCATTATATTTTAATTGTAGCCAAAAGCCATATTCAACGTATCATTGTATTAATGAATATTATATATCAACTACTAGTATCAATAAACTTAGTACTTAAAAATTTTTTGTACTATAAATGTGTGGTTTTTTATGATGTAATTCAATATATATTTTACGTCATACTATTTGTTTTTTATTTGTTTTCAAAACAGACAACAAAAAAAAACATCAAAAAAATTATCAATTAATGTTGTACTCAATCTTAGTTAATATTATTTATTTAAAAAGTTTATCAATGCTCTATCAATTATGGGTTCAATTATGTAAACTATTATAATCTTATAATATAATCTATTTTTATTTCATATAATTTATGTATTAAAAATTATTTGAGACCTTTTTTAGTAAAGATAAATGTTATATACGGTATATTTTCCCACAACTAATTAGTAAACTAATTTATTTATTTAAAATTATTATTTCACTGTAATATCTATTAAATAAAAACTTATAATTTGTTAATTACAGATATTACTATTGTATTAATACAGTAACAGTATTGTGTAATAATCTATTGATATTTGACAATGTTTAATCTTCATCATTTAATTTAATTATATTAACACTATTTGATATATCATATCAGTCCCTCAAATGATAGATATAATTTACCACAAAATTTACTACATTATAGTTTACTACAAAATACATGTACTTTATTGCTGGCTGAGTTGTGCTGATTTATCAGATTAATTAATATCACAGTAAATTTACATATAATATTGTATGTAATATCAAAAAGTTCATTATATGGTATCTCAATGCTACAAATTACTATATTTGAAATCTACTGTATATTTAGTATTATTATTAATAATATTAACTATTCAATCAAATTACAAGTTAAGTAATAACGAAATATCTATCGATATATTTTTAGTTATATCTTTATCTAGACTGGCCCGAGATCTGTCATTTTTCAGGTATTAATATACACATAGTATACCCCCAACAATAGTAATTTGATATCACAGTCGTGTTATTATGTGCTCAGAGTCTAAGGACATTAAATGTATATATTTGACTATATTTTAAGTAAAAAAGTAAATAATTTGATAAAATATTGTAATCTAATAAACTTTTATAAATTAATAAACACGACGTAAATATATACTTAGATTGCACTCATTTTAGACCAATTATCATGAAATAAACTTATTGGTCACAATAAATGATAAAATATATTATATATACTTTATACTAGAAACTTAATCCATTTTCCAATTTATAACTACCAGTTCTCAATTCTATATAAATAGTATAACATTTTTTAATAAACGATTAAAAAAATAGTTTGAATAATAACCAATTTTTTTGTTATAATTATATTGAGTTTGATTACTAAAAATTAATAATTAAAAAATAATAATAATGTCAGAAGAATATATTATCAAATCAAATAAACCAATGATTAAACCAATCGATATATCCGTCAGTGAATATATATTCAATGGATTAAAACAATTCACTGATGAATATCCTTGTATTGTAAGTAAATCTATATAAAGTATATAAATATTATAATAAACGATTTTTTATATTTGCTATAAAGATTAATGGATCAAATGATACAATGATTACGGCTAAAGAAATGGCCACAAAATGTCATTCATTAGCAATGGCTTTGATTGAATTGGGAATCAAGAAATCAGATATTGTTTTGACTTTTGCTGAAAATAGTATCCAACACGTGATCGCATTGTTAGCCTCAATATTCTTAGGCGTAACGATATACCCGATCAGTCCGATCGCAAATTTTTATGAATTGGACGGACTGTTGGAAACATTGGGTTCACTCGTGATATTCACATCCAAAACAAAAGTCGATATAATTAATACAGTGCTAAGCAATAAAAATAGAAAATTTAATATAAAATCAATTATAGTATTAGACAGTGTTTATGCAAACTATAAAACATATGATAGTCTACTAAATTCTGGTCTCAACAAAAAATTACCTAAAATACCGTACTTTAATATCGATACAAAAAAAGATACATTTATTTTATTGCAAAGTTCGGGCACTACAGGTGTTCCCAAATCAATGATGATTTCACATTTTGCATTTTTGTATCAAATAAGTGTACTTGAATTGTTTAAATTACTAAAACCATACGGACATGTCGTACCGTTTGGATGTATATCAGGATCTCATCAATTGTATGGCAATCTCTCACAAGGAATAACTGGTGTAATACATCGTGAATATAATGAAGACTTGATATTCAGATCCATTGAAAAGTACAAAATTGAGAATATCTTCATAACGCCGATGTTTGCCACTAAACTCGTTTCCGGACCATTGGTCGACAAATATGACACATCGAGCTTAAGGTTTCTCTGTACCGGTGGAGCACCCGTTCCTCCACACATAGGTCAGGCCATTATTAAAAGACATAATGTTTTTTTCAAAGAAGGTAATGATATTATTATTAAAGACTTTCGATTAATTACAATAAGTTATTAATATATTTATAACGTTAGGATACGGAATGACAGAGTTTGGAGCACTGACTGATTTCTTTAACTTAGACGACGAACCGTATATACCGGGATCACTGGGAAAACCAGCTTTTAATAGTGAAATGAAAGTCATTGATATAAATAGTGGTCAAAGTTTAGGCCCAAACATCGACGGAGAAATATGTATAAGAGGTCCGCAATTGTTTTCCGGATATCTCAACAATCCAGAGGCTACTAAACAAGCTATAGATAGTGACGGTTGGTTTCATACGGGAGATATCGGTCATTACGATGAAGATAAACGTTTTTATTTAACTGATCGCCTCAAAGAACTGATCAAATTTGAGACAATACAGGTGTCTCCCGTCGAAGTCGAACAGTTCCTATCAACCCATGAATGTGTTGCTGAAGTAGTAGTGGTTGGTGTCAGACACGAGACACAAAATCAATGGGTCAGAGCTTATATTAAAGTCAAAGACAATATGAGTGTCACTGAAGCCGAAATCAAGAAATATGTTTCCGGTTTGTAATAAAGTTTTAATAAATATTACATAATAATAATTTTAAATAATTTTTTAATTACAGATAATATGAATGACGCCAAACACTTGAGGGCTGGTGTTGTGTTTGTCGATCACATCCCGAGAACTACTATTGGAAAAGTCGATCGAAGATATTTCAAGAAATTAGTCGTCAATGAAGTGATAAAAAATAATTAGTTATACTGTAAATCAATTAAAACTTAAATTACAAAAAAGATAGTTATTATCAATAATTAGTAATCTGTGTAATAATCTTAATTCTTATCAATAATTAATATTTACTTCATATTTATTTATAAAGATTATTAAAATAAAATATTTAAAATAATCTTAAATTTATTACTTTTTTCTAACTCATAATGAATTGTTTGAAGTTATTCTTCACAGATATTTTCAAAAATTTATGGCAAGACTTACACTATTAACTTAATTAATAAGATTTAAAAAAATTATTTTCTTAATAATACAATAAAACAAATTAAAATTAAGATTTAAGACCTAAAATTAAGATCTAAACTCTATTATAATTGATTGACGAGTTTTCTATTAATATCATAGATAAAAAAATTGTATTTATGTATATTTTTTGATAAATTCCCTAATTTTTAACATTAACACTCAAAGTAATATAAAGACTTTTTACTTTATTTTTATTTATATTTACTGCAAGTTTTAAATGTTTGAAAAGCCAAGGGAAGGGTAGGTAAGGTTTATAATCGGACAACTTTTTTATGTCATTTACTTTATATTTTTTAAATGATTAAAATGTTACTGTAATTATATAATATAAATATATTGATAATTTTATCTATTTATTATATTTTAAATAAAATTGAGTATATTTAAGTACCATATTAAAATATTATATTTTTATATTTATATAAACAAAATATTTTTATAAAATGAGTGTCTGCTTAGTAAACAAAATATTTTATTTATCCAATTACTGTAACAAAAATTATCAGTTAAATGCTCTTCAATTATCCAGAAATAATAATTTTCATCAATTTATATAATGAATCATTAAAAATGATACCTGTAATGGGTTTTTTAAAAGTTAATTTAAGTGCAAATAAGTGCAGTACTTTTGAGGGCATTCCTAATTTGCTTATACTATATTGACTTTACTAAGTTGATTGTTTATACTGTACGATACATTTTAATCAATAACTATTGATAAATAGTTGTTATGTAAATTTTTGTTAGTATTTTTAAACAGTACTTCAAAAATTTTATATAAATAGATGTGTTTTTAGAACTTTAATTTAATATAAAAATTTTATGGTTAATAATTATAAAAGATTTTAATAATAATTATTATTATTAAGTAAAAAATGGATGAGAAATATATTGTAAAATCTAAACAAAAGTCATTTGAGATATCGGACACACTGTCCGTATCGGAGTTGATGTCAAACAAATTAAATGCATTGAACAGCAATAACACATGTATTGTAAGTAAAGTATAATTATTTTTTAAATAGTAATTTTAGAYAATTATAGATAATAATTGTTAATTAATTAATTTGAAAGATTGACGCCACGACTAACACAAAACTAACAGTCAAAGAGCTGATCGACAAATCCAATGCTTTGGCAATGGCTTTGATCGCACAGGGAGTCAATAAATTTGATATTATATTGACTTTTGCCGAAAATTGTATTGATTTGGTYGTGGCATTCATTGCATCAACATTTTTGGGAACAACTYTATACCCGATCAGTCCGATCGCCAACTTTTATGAAATGAACACTTTGTTGGAAACATTGGGTTCACTCGTTATCTTCACATCCAAACTATTGGCTCCTGTAGTTGAAAAAGTATTAAACGATAAAACCAAAAAAATTAACATAAAGTCTATTATTCTTATGAATGGAGATTACAATAATTATACAAATTTTGATAGTTTGATTACCGATAATTTAGGCAAAACATTGCCAAAAATACCGTACTTTGATGTTAATCCTAAAAAAGATGCATTTATTTTGTTGCAAAGTTCTGGGACTACAGGTATACCAAAATCACTAGTTATTACACACCGGGCATACGCTATATCACAAAATTTTAATGTGTGGACACCGGGAGAAAAACCAGTGTTCGGACACATAACACCTTTCGGGTGTGTCTCTGGTGCGGGATTTTTGTTTGGATTTTTAAGTTTAGGGGTTCCTATAGTTATCTACAGATTATTTAATGATGAGTTGATACTTAAATCAATTGAAGATTACAAAATCACATTTATGTTTATTGTGCCGGCATTTGGACATAAATTGATTGCCGGACCACTCGTTGATAAATATGATTTATCGAGTCTCAAGTTTCTGGTTACCGGTGGAGCAGCTTTTTCAGCACATGTAGCTAAATCTATCATTAAAAAACATGATATTAAATTTCAAGAAGGTATGCTTATTGTAATTATTATCTGTAAAAATTTAATTTAATTAAATTTATTTTTAAAAAATAGGATATGGTATGACTGAATTCGGAATGTTAACCGATTGGCTTAACATAGATCCCGAAAATGATGAATATATTCCGGGAAATTTAGGCCGACCTATAGTTAACTCACAGATGAAAGTTATTGATCTGAAAAATGGACATAATTTGGGACCAAATTCTAAGGGAGAGATTTGTATTCGTGGACCGCAAATGTTTTCTTGTTATCTCAATAACATTGAAGCCACTAATGAAGCCATTGATAGTGACGGATGGCTGCATACGGGAGATGTGGGACATTACGATCAAAGCGGAAGATTTTTTATCACCGATCGACTTAAAGAACTAATTAAATACAACACTAAACAGGTCTCTCCAACAGAAGTCGAACAGTTCTTAATGACCCATAAATGTGTGGCTGAAGTGGCAGTGGTTGGTGTCAGACATGAAACACAAAACCAATGGGTCAGAGCTTATGTCAAAGTAAAAGACAATATGAATGTCACTGAAGACGAAATCAAGAAATATGTTTCCGGTTTGTCATAATTTCTTAATATATGTTTCACTAAAAAAAATTAATCTTTAATTAACAGATAACATGAATGAYGCCAAACACTTGAGGGCTGGCGTTATATTTGTCGATCACATCCCTCGGACTACTGTCGGTAAAGTCGATCGAAGATATTTCAAGAAATTAATTGCTAATGAAATTATCAAAGAGACATAAATTGATTTAGTTTTATAATATTTTTTATTTCTGAAATTAGTAAATATTTAAATTCTAATTTTATATTAAAATTTAATATAAACTGTGCTTTTATTACATGAATAATAATTTAATTAAAAACATTATGTTATTTGTTATAAAAATCTATTAAAACCAAACACTACTACAGTATAATATAAACGCTTTTGGATTATCTATTTATTCATTAATTGTCATAAAATTGGGAACACCTTTAAGCCAYTTATTGTTTAGTACATCTCGTATTTCAATCCTATCTTTACTAAATGGATCTAACATTAGATCAATCAAATCATTCAAATATTTCAAATCACAGACAGGATCTTTCAATGCATTGTAATCTCTGTTATACTGTTTTTTTACAACTTTGATGACATCCTTTAGAGATGGATCTTCTTTAGTGTCAAACATAAAGGGATAACTAAGTGACATCATATAATAGAGACAGACAGCGAGTGACCAGATGTCGGCTTTAATGGGATCAACATTTTTGACTTTACCGACAGCTTTAGTCAATTGTCTTAATTGATTTGCCTCTAATTTGGAGAACTGATCTAATTTAAGCATTTGTGGTGACATATAGACAAGTGTACCCCTGGCTTCTCTATCTTTAAATTTACTTCTTTCATTCAATATCTTACTTAATCCAAAATCGGCTAATTTTATCACTTTTTTGTTGCCCTCTATAAAGATCAACACATTGGCCGGTTTGATGTCTCGGTGYGCGATATTGTGTTTATGCAAACAGAAGACACCATTTGCTATTTGGATGAAATATTTCTTAGCTTTTATTTCAGTTAATCCAGATTTTGTCTCATTAATAAAATCTTCAAGACTTTTGTCGGCTAATGGCATAAATAGATAACACATGTTATTAATGATAAAATTGTCTAAAATTGATACAACATTTTTGTCTTTCAGAGATAACATAATCGAGATTTCATTAACAAAGTATTTATATTTAGTTCTGTCTATTTCATCGGCACCTTTCATATCAATACACTTAATGGCCACCCATTTCCTCTTGACTATAGTTTTGTTGTCTTTTGATTGTTGAATCAAGTGTTCAATTTTGTAAACTCTACTAAACTTTCCGTCCCTCACTTGAACCCGATTCTCGTAGTCATATCCATATTCATTCATAACTTCAGCAAACGTTTTATATTTACCATTTGGTGATACCTTATATTTTTTCGGTGACATATTTTTATTGATCTCAATGTTTGGTTTATGAAGAGTCTCATAGAGTAAATCTTTCGCTTTGTTTTTTGACAGATCTGGACTCACATCAGGATTTGGCTGACTTTGACACCAACCACAACAACTTAATGGCCAACAAATACTAAACATTCTTCCAGATGTTTGTATTGATTGAACAATAGTTAACAGATTCAAACAATTGTCGTTAATATAATATTTATTTGATAAATAATTCAACAATTAGTGATTTATGTTTTATAACAAGATTTGCACGAAAATTAATTATACAATAATTATTATTATTAAGTATTAATAGTAAAGATGTGTAAAATTTAAATTTTATTAATTTCTTTACATATGACTAAAATTTTGTGAATTTGTTAGAAATATAATAATTATGATATTGTGTGAAATACCAACATTTAATCAATTAAAAGRTTTTATTTGAAAATTAAACATAAGTTTATAAATAGTAATCTAATTTCTTAGTTAAACAATAAATTGTATCTTTGTTAATTTTAATTTTTAAATACAGCGCGAGACAAAATGTTTTGCAAATGTTTACATTATAAATATAGAATTATTATAATTATTTTTTACATTTTTATTTAATTCACTTAAAATAATATGATATAAATGATATAAATGATATAAATGATATAAATGATATAAATGATACTGATATAAATTATAAATTGTGTCTTACATTGCATTTTACAAGCAATYATCTACAGTATAGTATAGGTACTGTTTGTCCATTTGAATAACCGGCCACTTATATTATAAAATAGTTAGATTGGTAACCGGTATGAAGATAATATGATGAAATAGGTATTGCAGCCCAGACCTCCCTGACCCCCAATTCCACTGACATGTCTGTACAATCACCACAATTTGATATATTAGACTTTAAAGTCTTGTCGAAATTAATTAATTAATGCTAATATGCATTACATATGATATCAACGTATTTTAATAAACAATATTTTATCATTATATCAATAGTACAGTATATACAGTACTATACTTTAAATATCTCTGAACTTAATAAAAACTATATGATTTATTATGACCTTGGTGATGCAATTCTATATATTAATCTGAAACTGTAATATATTTATTAAAATATACTATAAATTAAATCATATAAAAGTGTCGATTCAATTGATGAATATTTACTTCATATTTAATATTATATAATTTGTGTTAAAATGTCAGATAAATATATTATTAGATCTAATAAGTCGTGTGTAAAGCCATCAGAAAATACTGTTTCCGAATATTTATTCAATGGTTTGACACGTATTGATGGACAACACATTAGTATTGTATGTMAATACTAATTATGTTAAGTAAAGTAAAATTAAATGTTATTTTTTAATATCATATATAGATTGACGCAACCAGTCATACAAAACTTAYGGCTAAAGAGTTATTAGAAAAATGTCATTCACTTGCTATGGCTTTGGTTGAGTTGGGAATCAAGAAATCAGATATTGTTTTGACTTTTGCTGAAAATAGTATCCAACACGTGATCGCATTGTTAGCCTCAATATTCTTAGGCGTAACGATATACCCGATCAGTCCGATCGCAAATTTTTATGAATTGGACGGACTGTTGGAAACATTGGGTTCACTCRTGATATTCACATCCAAAACAAAAGTCGATATAATTAATACAGTGCTAAGCAATAAAAATAGAAAATTTAATATAAAATCAATTATAATATTAGACAGTGTTTGTGAAGGTTATCAATCATTTGACAACTTATTAGACTCTGGTCTCAACAAAAAGTTATCTCAAATACCGTACTTCAGTGTCGATCCTAAGAAAGACACATTCATTTTATTGCAAAGTTCCGGCACTACAGGTGTTCCCAAATCAATGATGATTTCAAACTTTGCTTTTACAATGCAAATCAAATTATTAGAAACACTAAAAAGTTTGACAACGTTTGCACAAATAACACCTTTTGGTTGTATATCGGGATCAATGTTTTTATACGGATATCTAACTCATGGACTGTCGATTGTCATATATCGTCAATATAATGAGGAACTCATATTTAGATCGATAGAAAAATATAAAATTGATGACATTTTTTTAACACCAGTGTTTGCAAGTAAACTCGTTGACACCCAGTTTACTGATAAGTATGACTTATCGAGTTTAAAGTTTGTCAAAATTTCCGGAGCACCCATACCATCACATATAGGACAGGCTATTGTCAAAAAATACAATGTCTTATTAAAAGAGGGTATATTTTAACATTTGTAAAATATATATATATTAATATAATTTTAACAAAAATTGTAAATTTTTAGGATACGGTATGACAGAGTTTGCACCGATAACTGATTGGTGGAACTTAGACAATGAACAGTATATTCCCGGATCAATGGGAAGACCTGCTATTAACGTAGAGATTAAAATTATAGACATAGAAAGTAATAAGAGTTTGGGACCAGAAAAAGATGGAGAAATATGTGTCAGAGGAAGACAAATGTTTTTAGGATATCTCAACAATATTGAAGCCACTAATGAAGCGATCGATAGTGACGGATGGCTTCATACAGGAGATATTGGACACTATAGTGAAGATAATTTGCTTTTCATCACCGATCGACTCAAAGAATTAATCAAATTTGAGACAATTCCGGTGTCGCCCTTAGAAATTGAACAGTTCTTAATGACCCATAAATGTGTGGATGAAGTGGCAGTGGTTGGTATCAGACACGAGACACAGAATCAATGGATCAGAGCTTATGTCAAAGTCAAAGATAATATGAGTGTCACTAAAGACGACATTAAAAAATATGTTTCCGGTTTGTCTTATAATTAAAAAAATTATTWAAAAAAATAATTATTTTATAACTAATTCATAGATCACTTAAATTATGCCAAACATTTGAGAGCTGGCGTAGTGTTTGTCGATCACATCCCAAGAACAACGATTGGRAAAGTCGATCGAAGATATTTCAAGAAACTAATTGCTAATGAAATTATTAAGTAATTAAAAAATCATATAAACAATTGTTTTAGTTTTAATTAAAAAGTTTATCTATTAAATAAATAATTAATAATTTAAATAAATAAAGTTGTTTTATTTAAAGATTATTTATTGGTTATAAATATTTAGATATCTATTTGAATTTAAAATAAAGTTTRAAATATTATCTRATATATAATTTCAAATTAAAACAAAATGGTTTAAATAGATATTAATTTAAACAATAATTAGTTAAACAATTAATTTATAAAAGTTTGAAAACATTTGTTACATATATGACGTTATTGTTATGAACTTAATGTTTACAATGCATTACATTTGTTGACAAACATTAAACTGCAAWAACTTATTGAACGACAACCCGATTGGTGGCCACAATATGTCATTATTTCCCGCATACGCCACCACATCGACCACTAACAGTGACTATAAACAGATACCGATAAATAGCGGACATATTGAGACTAAAGCAGATGATGGACAACAACAACAACCCAATTGGCTTTCGTTAAAAAGTTTTGATGACAAACGAGTGGTTGAATTGAATAAAGAGATCGTTGTGTCCGACGATGTGGTCATCGGTGGTCAAACAAAAAACGATGAAAGAAATCGTCACCGAAAGCATAAGTCGTCGAAAAGAGGTCGGTATTGATTGACTTAATTAATGAGATAATTAAAGTTACATTTGTTTTGTCTGTCAACAGACGATTCATCAAAGTTGAGATCAGCTAAAGAAAGACATGAATCATCTCTGTCTGTGAAGAAGTGGTCAAAGGGGTCGTCAAACAGTTTGGCGCAACAGTTGTCCGACAAGACCTTCATTGAAGAGACGGGTCTTTCACTGGAAAACGCTTATAGATTTGACACAAAAGGAGATAAAAATAACTTAGCGTTTGATTCGTTATATTACAAGAAGTGTGCAAACTATGAGAAGAAGCGAACCATTGATACCACGAGATTAAGGCATAGAAATAATGGTTTGTATTGAGATATTTATATATACAGTAAAAGTTATTTATTAATAGTATGTTTTGTAATTTGTTTTCAGACTCAAACATTAGACACAAAAGTAAGAAAATGCGATATTATTCTCAAGAAAACCGATCACTTCTTAAGAAGAATTTAAAAGATACGATAGATTTGTCTAAAGCTATAAATCCAATTCTGGAACCGTTAGAGTTTATTGCTGTCACTGAAAACCAAGCTTACAGACAGATATCAAATGTTCAATCAAATCCTTTAGGTGTTTACGATGTGAAAACTGCCTTATGGTCTGAAGGAAAGGGATCACTTGATGACATACCTTTACCAGAAACGACAATAAAATTTCAATCAATGAATGACACTAACACTGATAAGAAAGGTATTGATATTATTTTTGATAATATTTATTTATTTAATTATTATCGTACAGTAATTAAAAATTTATTTTATAGTTTCTATTGGTCCGAATTCATGTCCAAATCAGGAACAATATATTTACGATAAGACACAAGAATTTAATTCATATCTWAAGAATAACGAAACAGATGTGAAGAAATGGCTGGAATTTATTGCATTTCAAGACAAAAGTGTCGACATTAGTGTAGATATTAGCACTAATAGTGATAAAATTGAAGGCAAATCCGTCGACATATACATAGCTGAGAAAAAACTAATTATTTGTGAAAAAGCCTTAAGTTTTAATCCAAAATCAATTGATCTGTTGTTGTGTCGACTTGAGATTGCGGCCGATATTTGGGATTTCGATAAATTGGTTAAAGAATGGAAACATTTGGCTTTTGTTTATCCAAACTCTATGCAAATGTGGAGAAAATATCTGTGTTTTACACATCAAAATATAACACATTTTAAAGCTTCAAAAACGATTAAAGTCTATGAAAAATGTATACAAATGTTGTCGAAAATGTCGGAAAAGACATTCATCAGTCATAAACCTCCCGAAAATTTAGAACAAGAGATGGTATCTATTTTATCGTCTTATTGTCGATTTTTGCTGCATTTGGGACAAACAGAGAGAGCTGTCTCAACATTTCAAGCATTAATTGAATTTAATTTATTTACACCCAGTCTTCTTACGTATGATATGTCACTTCAGGTGAGTTTTTTCTTTAAATTGTTAGCAATAATTATTTACCGGTAAATACAACGTTTTGTGTTTAACTTTAAAGGACTGGAAAACTTTATTTGAACCGTTTTGGGACAGTGGGTGCCCACGGTTTGGTGAAAATGAAGCAATTGGTTGGTCACAAGTTTTGACTCTTAAAAATGTTGTCAATAATCAAACAAAGAATAATGATATTCAAAACCTTATCGATGAAGAAGAGAATAAAATAATTAACGAAAACAACAAAAGTGTGATTTGGATTAAGTTTGAATTATTACGACAAAAGTTTCATTGGCTGCCGGCTCGTAATGATAGCGATGTGGACGATCCCGAAAGGATTGTTTGCAGCGACGACATCATCGATATGTTGGTCCGATTTCGTGAACAACAATCAAAATATCTTTTAGTGAAAATGTTTTTACAATTTTTATTATCGATTGATTCAAAAACTAGTGAAAATGTGATTAAAAATGATGTGTACATTGAGTTACCGATAGACATATCCAACTTTGCCATAGAATTACCACTTTTGCCTAATTTTTTTGGCAGTGAAGCTATTATACAAAGTATTTTAAAGTCAAGTGTCGTCTTATTTAACGGTCAATACAAATGTGATTTAGTGTTACTTTGGATTGAATACGAAATGAATAAAAGTGACAATAAATTGAGTGCTAAACAGATGAGAAAATTTTTGAAAGATTTTTTAAAAGATGATGTCTTCAGAAATGATCTCAACATTTGGTCACATTATGTCTCATTTGAGTACTCATTAGCCGATAATAAGAGTGAACCGCGAAAACTATTTCATACGGCCATTGAGTTTATGATTAAATCTAATCAAAACAGTGAACAACTCTTTAGATTTGTTCGCAAATACATTGAACTCGAATTAAACATTACATGTCTTTCCAAAATGTCTTCAAATCTATCAAAAGATATTATAAAATATGATTCTGTTTGCGAAGAGTTTTGTCTCAACTCATTATTGTCCATAAGTTGCGGACAAATGTTATCCAAATCTACGCCAACTATTATACTGAAGGCTATAAATAGTTTAAGACTTATCACAAATCCATCTCATAATCATTTGTTTTGTTTGATTTATATTTATTACTTTACAAAAGGTTAGTAAAATAAAATGCAATTATTTAAGTCAATGTTTAAATGTTTTCCTACTAATAGGTGTTCAGCAAACAATTGATGTAATAGAAGAAACTCTTGTTGTTAAACAAACAGTGATTAATGATAAACATTTATATAATATTTATTTACAATTATTGTTATTAAATATCCGACAAAATTTTGGACAATCGCTAAAACAGTTGCGTTCAGTGCTTAATAGAGCTCTTGGTTTATATTCAACTGATCCGCAATTTTTAGGGCTTTTTGTTAACATTGAGTTCATGTCAAATGTTTTTTGTCGAATGAGACGCTTCTTCAACAAAACTTATCAATTGGTACGAAACGAAGGAAATCGTGTCGAGAACTGGTATTTAATTGTTTACGCCATTCACTCAGAATTAAAACGACTTAATCTAAACAATGGTATGTCTTTTAAGATATAAATTTATAATTAAATTAGGGACTGCCTAAAGCCAAGTGCAGCCTCCCATCCTACCCGAAGTAGAGGTTATCAAAGAAGCCACTTCCCGACTCTAGACATACTATCCCCTCAAAAATTATAGCTTAGTGTGAATCTGGTGTCAAACAGATCCTTATTTTCCTTACTCTTTGGTTTAAGCACAAAAGCATAGCCTCTCTATGACTACCTGTCCTTAACATTGAACTTTTATTGTGTAACAGTTTATAATTAATGTTTGCTTAGAATACATTAAATAAAAGTTGACTTTTATTATTTAATTAATTATTCAATAATTAATAATATTTTAGTGTCTTATTTTATGTATTCAATATTTATAAATAATTTGCAGTTTTATATATAATTAAATTACTAATTATTTAAATACATTATACTATAAATATCAAAATAACATATTATGTTTTGGCATAATCATAATTATGCTTTTGTATTTTAGTTACTTTTAATTTATGATTTTATTAATGTTAATTTTTTATTTTAATGAAGTCTATTGAATATTGAATTAAATTTTGGTTGTTTTTTCAGAAACATATACCGGTTATGACACCAAATCAGGTATAATAAATAGGGTTAGACTGTTGTTTCAAAGGGCCATCTCTAGTCATCAGCTTAACAATAGTGTAATACTTTGGCGATTATATATTAAGTTTGAGGTAAAATTTTGCAATTTTTTTAATTTTCAGTAATTAAATTAATATTATTAAAATGAAATAATTGTTTTACGGTTTATTTACAGCTTATGTGCAATAATACACTGAAAGCAAAAGCCTTACTTTATAGAGCTTTGCAAACATGTAGTTATAGTAAAGTAAGTATGAATTTAATTAATTAATTAATTTATTATTTTTAATTCATTTAAATAAATTGTAATAAAATATATTTTTATTTAGATTTTATATATGGATGGCATTCAATATTTTGGATCACAATTACAGGAATTAGTCGATATTATGACCGAAAAAGAGCTGAGAATTAGGTCTCCATTAGAAGAAATCGATTTATTGATGAATAGTTTGAATTAGTTATATAAATATAAATATTTCAATTTAAACTCTTTTTGTTATCATTTTTTCATAATAAAATTATATGTCATTACAATTAGTTTTTTTTATAAATATAACATAACTTAAATAAATCAAGCTTTCTATTTTGATTAAAATATAGTTTTTAAATATTATTTTGTCAATTTTTCTAATTTTGTTTACTTATATAAATATCACATAAATAAATATATAAATTTAATATTATATAATACGAGTAAAAATAAATATATTACAACAACATTCAGATCTAAAAAATATTTGTAAAAATGTAGTTATTTATCAAAAATAGTTAACATTTTTAAGTATGAATTTTGATTGTACATTAAAACTTACAACAAGTACTGTAAGTCAAATGAGTATTTGATTATAATTGTATATAAACTAAAATGTTTTTTAAAAATGCACTAAAATGAGACACATTTGGCACAATATGTATATATAAAATATTTACAAAACTAAAAGATTAGGTATAAATGTCACTCAGATTTTAGGATAGTTTTGAAAGGATTCGGTCCTCTCTTATTCGTCCTCATTGGCCGTTGTTGTTGGCCAACAAAATCGTCAGAAATAGCTAAAGAGCTGCCAAATGATGAGGACATGGAGTACGAGTCTAATGGTTGACAGCACTGAACCCATTCCTGTTTAGATAGTTTTTTGTCATAGTTTTGGTCACAATAATTGATTTCAGTTCTGAAACATTTTCTTAGTCTAGAATTAATGGTCTTTCGCCACGTTTGGCGAAATTGTTTCCATTCACTGTTTTCCAGAAACATATCTCGATTAGTGTCCATTCGATCAAAAGCCGATTGACACGAATTGTTATCCTTTTCAAGATATTCACGAAGTTTTTGATGAAATTTGTTGCGACGCCTCTGATCGCAACCTTTTCTAATCGATTCACAATTGTTTTGATTTCCATTAGTAATGGACACTGACGTCGGCAATGTCTTAATGGTCTGACCTGAGACTCGTGATACACACCAACAGTAAGGCACAGGTTTTGCACTGGATTTGTGGCACTGGACGCGTACATAATAGCCATCTTTAGTACACTCGGGGATAAACAGTTCGCCGTTTGGATTGACTTTTTTCGACTCTAAAGCGTTGGCACGTGTTATGTAACAGTCGAGTCGCGATTCATTGACATTTCGTGACGAGTGTTGGTTCAGTTCAAATGGATTTTGAAAGCCATTTCCCTTCTTTGCCGATGTCTGTGTGTCAGCTGAACTGTGTCCACCATTTGTTGAATTTAGAGACAGAAAAGCGCGAAAACTAAAGTCAAAGTTAAGACATTCTTTAAATTCGGCTTTCGTTACAAAAGAGTCGTTGTTTTGGTCACAGAATGTGAACATCTGTTGCGCGCAAACCCGGAATAATGGGAACAACTTTTTGATTAATTGAATCAAATCTTTGGTTTCTTGTTTAGAGATCTTTTCGTCTAAATTGAGATCCAATTCATTGAACTTGGATTCAATTGATGCTGATATTGACGACTCATTTTGATGACCAGTTTTGCGAGTATTTTCCGACACAAAGACGCCCAACAACTGTGTGTTAAATAAGACTCTCTGAGAGCTATTACACAAACGTTTGTCCTTTCGTCGGGTCTTTGAGTTAGAGTCACGAGTTGCCGATCGACGACCTGTTGACACAAATTGCAAATTAGTTGACACATTAAAAGTCATGGATTATCAGTCAATAATTACCTGAATTATTACAGTTTGGCAAACCATTGTGGGTCTGCAACACAAACAAGTGGTTAATAAGTATCACATCATTTGGACATCAAGTCATTCATACAGTGGTTCGACTCTTGGGTCGACCGGTCATCACATCCACACACCAACAATACCCGGAACTTCGGTGACATTGAACCGACTGTTGTGGTCATAATAATTAGCATCAAAATCAATAATACAATCGACAAATAATACCGCAAAGAGTCCATCTCTGGTACATTCGGGTACAAACACGTCCTTATCATCGGTCAGTGCAGCCGATCGGCTAACGAGACAGTCGTTGGCCTAAAAAATAGTGGACAATCAGTGGCCGTATTATAACATAATTGTAATATTATTTCAATACTTACATTACAATCATTTGTAATCACAATTAGTGTCATTAATAGCGATATTAATGACAAACGCATTGATGGACACAAACTATCTGTCATTGCATTCAATGTTTGCTTTATTTGCAATCAAAAGTCCAATTAATTTGATAACAAAAAATTTATAATAAACTTTACGCTAAATATATTTTAAATGCATTTATAATATAATTATTAACTAATATTAAATTATTATAAAAACACTTTTATCGTTATTTAATAGACATTATTAGAAAACATATTTAAAATTAATTTCAAAAAAACTATTTATTAAATATACTATATTTACAAATAAAAAAGTTTTGACAAAACATAGAAAAGACAAACAAAAGTTTTGTCTCTCTTTTTGTTGTTGTCTTGTGTTTTGTGTATTACTTTTGTTTTATATGTGTTTATGTATTATATATATATTTCAATAGAGTCTCAGTTTATAACACATGAAATCAATTTGAATGTGTGTTCCCATAGATTATAGCTTTCACTTACTTTAACTGAAACATACTTTTTGAATCATAAATTGTTGAATACTTATCGAGAGTTCACTACAATATTATACTGTAATGACTTAGTATTAATAATATGTACAGTAAATGAATGCTTTGGTGGTTACGACACTTGAGAGGAATGCCTATCCGTAAGGAGTGTCCTCTCATTTGGTATTTGATTACTGGGTTAACCACTTTAGTGAAGCAACAAAAAGTGAAAAGTTATTTAAAATATTTCTCATTTGATTGTCATTTGATATATTGGGCGATAAATTGTACTAAATATATATATATATATATATATATATATATATATATATATATATATATATATATATATATACTGTAAATTATAGACAGTATATATAAATTTATATACGAGTTGTTAATTGCAAATATATGATAGTTAAAATAGTTTGCATTTTTTGTGTTATCATTAAACAAAATTTTTAAATATATTTTATAGTTTATTTTAAGAAATGATATTGATTTTTAATTACTTTAACTACAGTTTATTATACAGTATATACAATATATAATTACAAAACATTATATATTGTATTTTAATGATAATAAATCATACATTTTCATCTACAGTATAATTAAAATAACGTTTGACAATAAAAATAAGGTTAAAATTATAATTAAAATAAAATTATTATATTTAATACATAAAATAAAAATAAATGAGTACATATTATGAAAAAATTATAAATCAAATATAATATTTAATGCTATCATTTATTATTAATTTACATTATTTTTCATAAAATATAATATACAATAAATATAATAATCGCTTATATTTTTTGAAAAGTTTTGAAAACTTAGTTTAATCTTAAAGTATTGTAGTGACAAAAATATTAGTATACGTTTATAATTTTTTTTGTTAATATTTTTCCAGTGTTAATGTTACAAATTTTTTATTATACAGTAAATTCAAAATTAGGGTCATTATTAAAACATAAAATAACTAAATTATTACATATATTACAGATAAATTAAATTGGGAAATTGTTTTAATACAGGTATTGATACATTTGACAATTGAAATTATATACTACAGTAAGATTCAATTATCAGTTACACTGTAATACAAATAAACTAATAATAATCTTAATATAATATACTATTGGATGCATTTCTAACTCTACTCATTGCAATAGTTTGACTCTTATGGCTGGCTATGGATGACGTGCTGTTTGATTGACTCAATCTCTTTTTGGTGGTCTGTTTGGCCCAATTGGTGTCAGACGAAGAGTTATTTGAACTGTTGGATGACTTTTCTCTGCTTAACGACTTTGATCTCATACTCGTGAATACATTGGTTGAGGTTGACTTGTATAGAGAGGACAGGTATCTCGATGGTTGCCTTTTGCGGTAAGACTTACTCACAACATTCCTGGCCTTTTCGTTAAGTAGTATTTGAAAAGTAAATATAAAGACACCCTAAAGTTATAGACAATTTAGTTAATAAAGTTATATACAGTACTCCCAGTTTATGTGCCATTACTTGGAGACCATTTAATACAATGAATATATAGGAGAAGTGTTGTCCAAATTCGTGTATATAAAGCAAAAATGATATCCAAGTAATGCCTAACATAATAACTAACGACACGAAGCCTTTCATCCACGAAAAACTTTGCGACAATTTTTCGCTTATATTAATGATCTGTGAATTGTTTGCAGAGCTAACTGTGATATCTTTTTCTTGGATTTGTTTTTTCTTCATTTTTGCCGAAAACGCTTCGCGTAATGCAAAATACATAATGACTGTATTGGCCAGTATGACTACCAGTGCTGGACCGGCCACTGCCCATACTCTGTAGGGGTGTGTTGGTGATGATATCCAACAACTTCAAGAAAATTTATTATTACAATTTATAATTTACTAAATATATATATATACTGTATATATTAAATCCATTAAGACTTACAAATAAGAGTCATTTTGTTTGACTTCGTTAAAACCAATGGCTAAAATTGTACACAAAGTGATTACAAGTGGTGATCCATAGCCGATAGCGTATAAGTAAATGAGCCGTAAGTGTCCGATATTACTAAACACGAGTACTATCATCTGATACAAATGGTAGCCCTCCATAAGCATCCATGAAAATGATGCCAATATTGAATATAGTAATAGTGTTGACACTGTTTCGCATAATACCTGATCCACAATAAACATCAATTTAGAAATATATTTTTACTATTAATATATTAAATTAAAATTATATTTACATTATATTCGGTTAAATCCATACCAAACACTACTAACAGATTAACAATCAATAGACAAACACATAAATTACTGGTAATATTGTTACGTCTATTACGTAACGTCCGAATCAGTGTAAGAAAAGCGATGGTTATTATTAGACAGACTATGGATAGACCGCAACAGACTTTTGTTAAAATATCCTTAACTTTAGTGTTGGTCTCGCGTCCGCTTACATCCATAAGTGCCGCAAAATTTGTCAAATGATTGCACTCACAAACAGTTATTTGTCGGTTTGATTCACTTGTTTTCAGCCAACAGCCCTCCGATGACCACTTCATTTGCTGGAAGTTCCAGTAAACACAACTCATTTTATCGCCAAACACCAGCTGTTTGTGGTGTTTGACACTAAGATTGTAAAAATTGTTGTAAATATTATGTGAAAATAGACTTTTTTTAAATTACCTAATTTTAACGGGTGAAACATTATGGGGAAGTCGTGTACTGTTATGTGTATTCCTTATACTAAAAGCAACAATATTTGTATTGACATTCCGCTTATCATTAGACCCTTCTTTAAGATATTGAGCCAATTTATGAAACATAGTCCCGACTGCTGTATTACGAATACAATCCCTTTCCTGTTCCGGTTCGGGTATACCCTCAGGGATTGTGATCGAGGACTGCATTTTCTCGACACGGAATGTCGTTTTGTTGTTATAATTCATGTGAAATGTATGGATAACAATGTTGTCTTTGGAAATCTCTTGTATCGGATAATCATTATTAGTAGTTTCACCCCTACAGCCCAACCTGAACGAGCTCTCCTGCATGTATTTCAATATATTTGCACTTAAGTTAGCTTTCATCTCAATTTGGTCGACACCAGACCAGGCTTTATCACAGTCCAACACTTTGCTACAACTGTCCACTAAATTTTCAGTAAAACTTTTGTATTCACTAATATTTTTACTCTTCAAGTAAAACATTTGTTGCATTTTATCCACAATATTAAGCGTTTGGTTTAAAGTCTGTTTAGTTTCGAGTGAATTATTTTTAAGAAGTTTATTGAGATTATCGGAACATTTGATGATATCAGTGGTAGTTATGTCTGGTTTTTGTAATTGTTTTTCCAAATGATCCAAAGCTTTTTGTACGTCAGTGTCGGGACCGATGGTAGTGGTCGAAGGCGTGCTAACTGTGCTTTTCGGTGTTTCACTACTAGTACTGATCGAAACAGTTGTATGTGTTGTTTCCGTACTGTCTGTTGTTGTGGTCGATATCGGCGGCGGCGGTGCTGTTGTTGTTGGAATAGTTCGCGGTCTGTAATTACAATTGACTTTTAGTTTGATTGTGTGTTTGTTTGATTGAATAATAAAATAATTCAATAGTTTACTAACGGACAACCCTTTGGTAAGTTGTAAGCACATAAATAATTCATTTTAAAGTCATCGCCTTTTTTAATTACACTGAAAATTAAAAATATATATAATTGATTTATTTGACTTTGACTTTAATTACCCAAATACGTCATCAAATTTTTTATTATCTTTATTAAAAGTGGTGACAATTACGAGACAAGATTTATCATCAACTGGTTTATTGTATTTGATTTCGCGACCACTCGATAGCCACTGACACTTTTGACCAACCATTGTGTCACTTATTTTTCTCATACAACACACACCACTTGTTGCCAATTCAGCGTCTAATTCATAGCAATTGAATAAATAATTTATTTAATAATTATAGTTCTCTCTCTCTCTCTCTCTCTCTCTCTCTCTCTCTCTCTCTCTTTATATATATATACTTTTTATATAAACTTAGATTAAATATTAATTAAAATTATATATTATAAATTATATACTGTATATATTAATACTTGATTTAAGATTCAGTGAAGACATCATAACTTCTGCAGCTTTGTCTCTATTAAAATCTTGTGAAAGCTCTACGAGATCTGCATCAGGAGTGGCACCAAATTTTTGTGCACACAGTTGTCTACTCCGATCCCATTCCTCTTTTTCATTATCTTCATAATAAAATACTGTATTATCGATACACTGAAAGTTTGCATATTTTGCATTTTCAGCCATTGAACAAAATGTTTCCCAGTGTTGACATTCTGTACATTAATTTATAAAATTTAATAATATAAAAAATTAATTATGGTTTTTATAAATTATAATAATATATTTTAATTTTAATTTTTAAGACTACAAAATTTATAATAAGTTATTATAAGTTATTATACTAATTTCAATATTATTTAATTATACTATAATATATTGTAGTATTATATAAAATGTTATAATTACTTATATTTACAATTTTAATTGTTAATATGAATCGTTTAATTAATTTTAATTAAATGAATGTTTACAGATTAATGTTACAATATATAAAGTTACTAATATTAATATAATAAATTTTGACATTTAATACTTTTATGACTTTAATGACTTTTATATAAAAAGCTAATTTCAACTTTTATAATTCATTGTATACTAAATTATCATATTTTATAATAATAATATACAATATAGGATTACATAATTTATAACAATATTTATCAAAATTTTGTAGTGTATTATTATGAAAAATTAGTAATTAAAACTGTAACAATTATTTAAATAACTTACCGTAATATTAACAAAATTTATTGACATTATAAAAATACTCTAATTATATTTTTCTTAAATATTTTTTAACAGTTAAATATATATTTCTTAATTTAATTAATTAATTCTTTTTTATATTATTATTATAATTTGTACAAAACTGTAATCTTTTTAATAGTATTTCAAAAATTGGTAAATTGTAAGCACTTTAATTTTGTAGAATAATAATAATAATATATTTTAATTGAAAACTTTTTTCCCATTGATAAATGTAATTGAAATATCAAATCTGATTAGCACTTGAAGCAGTAATCATGTAATCATATTTATATAATTACTTATGATATTAATTTTCATGATTTTTGTTGTTGAAAACTTTCATAATTTGTTTATCTTAAAAATAGCCGACACACGGATTTATCTTAAAATATATTGTATAATATATTAATACATAAATTTATTACATACAATACATGTATATATTAGTTAATACAAGTATTGTCATAACTAATGACTCAATAAAAATTAGTAAAAAACATATTAAATAACAATAAGAGTATTCGTAGACATTGAATTCAAAGTACATTATTTTCATTTACAAATATAAAAGAGATTTAAATATAAATATTGAGCAAAAAAAATCTTAAGCCATACTTATTTTAGCTATAATTTGCATTTAAGTTATCATATATTATAAGTTTGTATCTCAGAATTATAAGTTTATGATATAAATTATATACCATTTAAATGTTAGCATATTTGCGGCTTTTATAGTAAATCTATTTTTTAGAGAGATTTTTCCATCAATTTTTATATTAATTGAGATTTCATGTTTTGTGTAATTTTATTACGATAAAAAAATTAAGAATTATAATACTTAAATTTAATAAACTTAAAATTTAATTACTAATATACAGTATTTATATTATTAGTATAAATACAGGTAGTAAATCAATATTATTTTATTTGTTTGTAGTAATAATTGAATGTTAAATTAAAAGATAAAGTTAATGTTTGCACTTATAAGTTTATATTAGGTAATATGTTTATATGGAAAATAACAATATATTAAACACTTTGTTTACTTTGTTTATATAATGTATTTATCGATGACACATAAAATTTTCTAATAAATTTCCATAAAAATATACAATTTTTAAATTTTTTTTTGAATTATTACTGTATTATAGAAACCTTATATATTTTTAATTATTGCAATAAACTGTATTTAAAGTTTAAATTTTAAACTATGAATTATGAAATTTTGATATAAAGAAATACTATAGCTAAATAATTATTTATAGTATTATTAAATAATTAAATTTAATTAAATATAGAGTAGTATATAAAATTATTGGAACAAAAATTTGAACCAAATGTTTAAAAATGTTACAAAAATATATTGATTTTAGACTAATTAATACAAAATATGTATATACAGTATATATGTAATATAAAAGATTTTAGAGAACACAAGATTAATATTTCATAATTAGAAAATTATTTCTGAAACTTTTTAAAAAAAATTCTTATTTTTAGAATTTTTATTATCTATAAAAGCATATATTATACAATTAACGCTAATATCAATGTACATGTTTGTCATTCAATAATTTATTTAATAAACCCATATAAACGTCAGCTAACAATGTTAGACATAAATTAATTTAGTTTTGTTTGTTTTAATATTAGATTTGTTGCGTATATTTAAAAATGATAATAAAAAATCATTTGTTTGCTAAATAAATATTCATGAATATAACCTAAATAAATTGAGTTAATTAAATAAAGAATATTAAATGTAGAATATAATTCAAATAAAGAATCTAAATTAATGTTTTATTTTTTAAAACTATAAACTCAAAATAATTTTTTTTAAATATTAATAGTTATTAAATAGATTATTTATATTATAGAAGTTAAATTTATAAAAAAATATTAAGTATTATTTACTGTAATAATAGCAAAAACAGTTTATGAAGGCACTAATAGTTTATATTTCTCAATTATAACTTATATATTGAATTATAATTGAATTGAATATTTATTGTTAAATTTATTGTATAATTGAATAATATCTAAAAATATAATTATGTTTTAAATAATAAAATAGTTTAATATAGTTTATAGTTATTTATTTGTATTACATAAGATGACAAACATAAAATGACATTATATTATTATATCATACAATATAAATATTATATACAGTATCTTTATAAATCTTAATTGCACTTAAAGTTATTTTTACAAAAAATGTTAGATATTAGTGATAAATATAACTAGCATTTTGATATAAACATCACTATAAAAAACAGTCTATAGTTATTCGAAATTTTCGTGTTTATAACTGTTTTGTGTTTAATTAAATTAATTTTTTGTTAAACTATTTAATTGTAATTTTATATAAAATTAATTAGTTACAAGTTTTTACACAAAAAAATGTTTTATTTGTCTAAGATTATTGAAAGACAATTTATGATTTAATCATATTATTAATCAATTTTTGTCAAATTTATAATTTATAGGTTTAAAAAAATTGTTGCTATTAAGTGATGCAACTAATTTTTATACAAGTATTTTATCAATACTTATTTTTACACAAACATCAAAGTAATTAAATAATGTATTATTTTTAAGGAATTTTTGTTTGACGTTTTAATATTAACAATAGTTAACTTTGAATCGTAAGATTAGTAATCTTAAGATTTAGATATTATTTATATATTTAATTATAAATTACATTTGTATTATTATTATTATTGCTAATAAAACATGTATCTTTACAATTAGCTATAAAATTTACAACAAATAATTGTTTTATTTATAAGCACATGTAGATAAAAGCAATTAAAATATAACAAACATTTCCGATTAATATAAAAATATATATATAATAAATAATTTTTTATATAATACCCATTTTTTGATATGAAATAATTTAATAGAATTACATATTAAATATCTGTGTTGTGTAATATTAATAATAATTTTTACTAAAAATAACAATTAATAATTATCCTATTGTAATAAAATTTAAAACATATATTTAGCATTTAAATATTTATAAATTTAATACATAGATTTATTTATAATTATTTATTAATATAATAAGAAAAAATCTAAATACCTGGATTAGTTTGTTCAGCAATTGAATGTGAAACTGTTGTAAATTTAATAGTTAAAACAATAATAAATATTAAATTATTTAAATAACTACTCCAAAACATGTCACTCTTTAAACACATTTATGTCATCATATATTTAATTAAGTTATAAGACACAAAAAATCTTATATAAAGTAAAGATAACACAAAATATTATTTAAAAAAAGTGTTTACAATAATGTGTCAACACATGAATTGTGTTAAAATATTTTATAACATTTCAAATGAGTTCAAAGATTTCAATAAATATATTTTTATTACTCATACATTTAATTAGAATTTAAGTATTAAATTATTAATTAAAAAACATCAATTAATAAAATCTAATATACATATAAGTGTAACATATAATTAATAAATTTACAATAATTACAATAAAAATATAATTTGAAATGATATTTAATATTAAAGTTGTCAAAATTAAATTGCACTTTTCAATTATATCATTAATCTAGTGATTTATTCATACAATATTATATGAAAAAAGTTTTAATCCGATATATACAGTACAGTGTGCATAGTATATATATAAATATATATATAATATCTTATCAATTTAATTATATCAAATTACCATGGTTGCACTATTTTGGTAGATGATTTTGACACATAAGTATGATACACTTGAAAATGTATCAACAGTATTATATCAAACTTAATTAAATTAAAACTTAATAAGATATTACATTTTTTATTATATTATTTTTTGAATTTAATTCATAGTACAACTGAGTTAATAATACATTTTTTAGTTTTTTAAGGATTAAACAAATCTTTAAAAGTGTTTAAAGCTATCAATTTAAAAATTAGATTATTATTTTTAAAATTGTAAACTTTTTAGTTTTGTAAAAGTATTTAGTAATTTTCAAACAATTTGTAATAAATTTAAATTATAACAATAATAATCAAGTTTTATAAAGTTATAAAAAACATTATAAAGTTTTAGGTTTTTGTAAATCAGAAGTAGCGGTAGTATTAGTTGGTGTTGTAATTGTTGTATCACTTGTTGGTAAAGTTGTCGAAGATTCTGACGATGTTGTCTCAGTAGTCGATGAATTTGATGGAGTGGTAGGTTTTGGAGAGTCCTTTTCTGTTGAGTAATAATACTTATCCAACCACTCTGTTGGTACCATTTGTGCTAAATTAGCCCATACTTTGGCTTTGATAGTCGTGTATGGAGTGTACCTAATGGCCGGATCTGGACTTCTAACTGCATCCACTAAATTATCCATAGTTTCATCCAGGTTGTTTTGGAAAATTTGTGTTAGTTTTTCGATTTTAATTTGATCCAAATAGTTAATGCCATAAAAATCTTTAATATAATCGGGAGTCATTGCCCACTGTTTGTTCACTGATCGAGAAAATTTGTTTTGTGTGGACAGTTGGCCAGCCTTTCGGTCAAACGCCATCTCAACGGTTGACACTTTGATATCCCATTCATATAATTCACGTCTGAGCGCATCATTGAAGGCCTGATTTGCGTGTTTTGACATACAATAAGCCGTCAGTTTTGGTAGAGTCAGTCGTCCGGCAATACTCTCAACATTTACAATACGGCCTAATATTTAATTATTTTTTAGTAAACTGTTTATAAAATATACAAATTAATTACCTTTTGATTTACGAAGAAGTGGCAGAAAAGCGCGTATCACTCGAACAGTTCCAAAGGTGTTGACATCAAAAATCTTTTCATACATCGAAAACTGTGACCAATCAAAGTGACCGAACTCTTGTACTTCGACTGTGTTGATCACTGCCCACAACGACTCTTCATTGGCGACCAACTCATCGCTTACTTCTTTTGCCACTTTGTTGACCTCCTCTTCATTAGTTACGTCCATCTTCTTGACATTCATTAGATTCTCATATCTGGAACCAGTCATCAGTTTGTCAATAATCGGATTATTGATATCCATGACAGTTGCATACACTCTAAAGCCCTGTTCGTTAAGTTTAACGGCTAAATCATGTCCTAACCCTTTATCACTTCCTATTTTTTGTTATTGAAAATAGTTAATAATTATTGATTTTTTTTGTAATTACCGGCTAATAAAATCTTACCAGTGATGAGGACAGCCTTTTTACTGGATGGCAAATACTCGCGATTTAAATATTTTCGGATATATTTAGTGACATTCCAGGCCAGAGCTGTCATAACAATGGATCCACCGATCATATTGACGGCGCCATCAAATGTATTAACAACACGAAGCAAATTAAGCGCCGAAAACACTAAAAAATATTGTGTTTTGAAGCTTTCAATATTGAAATAAGCCATTTGATTGATAACAATAAATAAAATTTTTATATTAAAATTTTACAAAATTAATACTATTATTATTAAAGTGAATTATTTGTTAAACTAGTGATTGACTCTAAATACTATTTATAAATATAATTATTTGGCTTAAATATGATGTCATTTAATGAATATAAACAAAATTCTTGACATAAATCTATTTTAAAAGTATCCGGAATATTGATCTCCGGATATAATTGATGTATATATATATATATATATATATATATATATATATATATATATATATATATATATATATTGTATTTGTGATGTACTGTATGTTTAAATAATATATAGAGGAAATTTATAACTTTTCAATGTAATTTTTCAATGTTATTTTATTTTCAACGTATTATTACGTATTATTATTGAGTTATCAAGTATAAATCTAATTCAACATCATTTGCATTAATTTTAAATATTTAATAATTTTAAAGATATAGTATAGTATATCAAATTGTTATATTGTCTAAAAATTTCATTATAATTATAAATATTAACTAAATTTTATTATTACGGTAGTATTTTAATTAATATTCAAAGTAAAAAATAATTCATTTAATTACTAGAAATATAAATCAATTATAAATAAATTTTTACAAAAACTAATTATAATTAGATAATTATATTAATTTTATAAATAAGAATCCCATTAATATACTGTATTGTCGTGTATATTATGTATCATCAGTATTACAATAGCTATATAGATATGGGGATCCCATTGTATAATAATAAAGTAAAATTTCTATAGAAATTTATTCCTGAGAAACTTTCCAGAAATTTATCTTAAAGAAATTTATTAGAAAATTTCTATTTGCCTATCTCTACTGTTTAAACTTTAATAAACTTATTTAACAATATAATACATTTTTTAATAAATTATTTATCCAAATAACCCAAAATTATGTTATCCTTTATTTTTAATAAAAAACTATGTTTTTATAAGTACTTAAATATGTCAATTAAAAATAATGAGAACAATAGTACTGTAAATTTAAATTTATAATATATTTTAAATAATCAATTACAAAAAAAGTCATATTTAAAATAATAAGGATCTACTGCAAGTTTTCAGATTATTTTTTAAATAGGATTCATAATGATTGCATAAAATAATGAAAAATTTATTGATTATTAAACAAAAATTCTTTAAATAAATAGCTTATCTTTAATTTCATTATTATTATTATTGATATTATTTTTTCTTGATTTGTCTGACATTTTAACATTTTAATCTATTATATTATAAGAAATACATGTATACAGTACTTAATATATCTAAGCAACTAATACTGAGAAACAATCAGTAAAAACTGTTTTCATTATAATTAAATTCATACAAACAATATGTATTGAAATCATTGTTAAACTTATATAAATTTTATTTTTTATTATTTCTTATTATTTTTATAAATATAAATTTATGTATATAATTGTTTTAAAATGTTCAGACAATTTTGTCATATAGTGATAGGATTAGTGTTTGTTGAAACTTATTTGTGTGGGGATCAGTTTGAATGGGACAGCATAATTGACGAGTCAAATACATATTGTTTACAAAATCGGATATTGTATAAAAATGATGAAAATAATCCATGTCATAATATATACACTGATTTTTGTGGCACTGTATGTCAAGTTTGCATTAATAATAATTTTGAAATTTTTCAAAAAACTTATCTTTCAATTATGATATTATTGATATTTTAAGATACAATGTGAGCCTATCTTTGACTGTGATGTCGAGGCCAGTAATGGTAAAAAAGCTATTGTGGAGAACATAACGGGACACGGATGTTGTCCCGCTTGTGTTACTTATTTAGGTGAAGTAGACTTTTAGTATAATCGCCACTTTTTTTTAATCAAATTAAATATAATTTTCAAAAACGTTATAATTTATTGAATAATTGTTTAAAATAGATGAGGAGGAACTGTGTGATGTGAGTTCACTATCAGTTAGATGTAGAAATGGTTTGGATTGCGACCCATCCTCTGGACAATGCGTTGTTCCCACTAATAAATTATCGGAAAGACTATGTCTTAAAGAGTATAACAATAAGAAAAAGGCAGCGGAATTGAGGGCAACATTTTATATTAAAAATGATTTAAATCCTAAAAATGATTTGAATTATCCGATAATTTTTTACGACAGTATAGAACTACCCGATTGTGACGATAATACCGGTCAGTATAAGTTGAAACAGTGTAGGGATGAAAAGTAAGTGATTCAATGATTGTTGTCTTCAATCATATCATTATAAATTAGTTACTAATCAAAGTACTTATCAGATGTTTTTGTGTCAATCCAATTGACGGAAAGCCTACATTTGGTTTATCATTGCGATCGTCAGCCGAAAACATTACGTGTCAGTGCGCACAACATTTTTATGAAAAGTTTACTTATGATCCCAGCCGTAACAAACAATATGATGTAGATCTGGCTAATTTGGAGCATTGGTCACAAATACACTCCAAGTGCGACCACACCGGCAACTATGAGGCCTTGCAATGTATTAACCAAACGTGCTTTTGTGTTGACGAAAAAACGGGTCGACCATTAGCATCCAAGACATCCATGTATGGAGCACTGTCATCATTGCCTTGTTGTTGGTTCACATTTATTTTTTTTTTGTTATACACACAAATATATCGGTAATTGTAATAATTTTTAAAAAATAATTTTGCATTTATATAGACGACGAACAAAAGTTTAAAAAATTGAATACAAAAGAAGCCGACGCTAACTATCAGAATAGTTGTGAACAATATATCATTAAAACACAGGCACTTTCACTGGAGTTCCTCAAAAAGGGTGCAGAGCTTAACAATATGGGTGATTCAACCTGCACTTTTGATGGGTCATACAAACCCACACAATGCAAACCAGGTATGCTATTATCAAATGTCAAACATATTATATTAATTATATATTAAATGTTTTTGTATTGACAGCCACTTGTAAGTGTGTTAATCCAAAGGACGGTACGATTTTTGGTCCATACAATTTAGACAGAAATACTAGACCTGAGTCCGATATGGAGTGTCGGTGCGCTTTACAAACATTTTACCAACGTTCAGATTATCAACAATATAATGAACTGGAATGCGATGCTATGGGAAATTTCAAAGCATACCAGTGCTCTAAAAACGCCCTGGGTCAATCTAAATGCCACTGTGCTGATAGTAATGGCGCACGAATTAGTGAAGATATTTCAACCAAATGTTTGGATAAATTTATGGATGAAAAACAAATCAAAATAGACAAAGAAACCATTTGTCAGACATTGAGATGGATTATCATTGAACAAGTCATCAGTGATGACAATATGTACTTCCAATACGATTCAAAAGATAATGGACATCATTATAACCCAATTAACAAACCATCAAATATTATTGATGAAAAAACTTATTGTAAATAATATAATATTATTAAAAAATTATACCATATTTTATTATACAGTATATAAACAAATTTAATTATTTCTAATATTTCATAATATGATTATATCGGTATAATATATTAATTAATAATTATAGACATAAAATTCAATAGAAAATATAAATTAAATGTTTTGTCAATTTTCTAACTTATTTTAATTCTTTAAAAATGCAATTTATAAACTAATTATATATAATATATATATTATTTTTTAAAATTTATTTTATTATTTAAGAAAACAATTTATTTTGTTTAAATTTGATTGAAATACTATGTTTGAAACAGTGGGCAATAAAAGACTGTAGTCTACAGTATGTACTGTATGTATGAATCAATTGAAATTCAATGAACATATGATAAGTGAGTGAAAGACAACAATCACTGTATGTTTTGAGCGAATGTTTTCAATCAATTGAGTCATTGATTGCAAACATTGTTTACATATTTTAATTGACTGTTATTTTTCATCAACACATCCATTGATTAAGACAACCGAGCAATGAGTCGATACATACCATATAAGAGTCAAGAGTTCGCCGGAATTCCCGAACACTTGAAGATAAGTATAACAAAAAGATTGGATCAGTTTGTCAACGACGATGACGACCGCAGCGGTAAGTGTCGACCAGAATTGAACAATTGGTCGATGTTTTTGGTATTTTTAAAATATAACTGATTTTGTCTTTAAACAGAACTGGCTTTTGAACCGAGTTTGACATCAAATGAGCGAAAATATATTCACAACTATTGCGTCCAATTCGGACTTAAGACCAAAAGCCATGGGTTTGTGATAACAAAACATTTTCAATGACCAGTCATTGTAATGTCGTCTTCGAGTTATTAATTAATTAATGATTTGATTATATGTTTGGTTAGCGTTGAACCCAACAGACATATTGTGATCTACAAAAAGGACACAACAAATGTCACAAATAAAGAGGACTTTGATTTGAGTCTCAATTCACAGCACGCGGTCATTGAATTGCGAAAGAGTTTGACTGAAACAAGAGATTGGGACCCAAACTATGGCAACAATGTTAGCAATCTATACACCGATAGACAATTTTATTGTCGAACGGGCCGTCTATCGACTATTAGACCGCAAGTTCCCAGAGGACAGTCTTTTGCCAAAAATCACTTACGAAGTTATAGACAAGATCTACCGATATTTCAATTTAGAGATAATATATTAACAACAATTGACAGAAACAAAGTTGTGATAATTAGTGGCGACACCGGTTGTGGCAAAACAACTCAAGTTCCGCAGTATTTACTTGAAAATTGTACGGCCACTGGACAGCCATGTCGTATAATATGCTGCGAACCGCGTCGTTTGGCCGCTATAAGTGTTGCCGACAGGATCTGCTTTGAAAGAGACGAAGAAATTGGTAATACTGTTGGCTATCAGATACGTCTTGAGAGCCGGTAATTAAACTGAAATTATTTTTTTGATTAGCATTTTATATTAATTTATCTGTTCAATATTTAATAGTGTTTCAAATAATACTGTTTTAACGTTTTGTACAAATGGTGTCATATTGAGGACATTGATGGCCAATAGTGAGGAACTATTAAGAAATGTCACTCATATTATCATAGATGAAGTTCATGAAAGAGATCGTTTTAGTGACTTTTTGTTGCTTATTATGAAACAAATATTAAAAACCAACCGAAATATTAAATTAATACTAATGTCTGCGACTTTTAATTTAAAAAGATTTGTTGATTATTTTGATGACAACTGTCCCATCATTGAAATACCTGGCCGTCAATATCCGGTAGACGAGTATTTCTTGGAGGATGTTCTAAAAGCAACCGGTTATATGACTCTTCCAATGGCTCGATATAAACAAAAGTTGGATCAAAATAAACGTCGAGTTAATAATTCAGTGATTAATAGTGAATCATATAAAGAAAAGAGTTCTGAAGCTATGATCACACTAAAGGAAGTGATGGATAATTTGCTAAAGAATGCATGGGTTGATGGAACTGATGAAGCATTTGAACAACTACTGGATTTTGTAACCAAAAATAATGAGTTAATTGATTACAAACACAGCGAAACTGGAGTTTCATCTTTGATATGTTCGGCCGGTCGTAACAAACGTGATATCGTAGAAGCACTCATATATACCGGTGCCGATGTTACGGTAAGATCTCCCAACAATATGACAGCTTATGAATGGGCCGATTATTTTGGTCACAAAGAAATTACTACATATTTATCATGTGTTACGGGCAATGCCAGAGGAGGCTCTACGGGAGTCGTACTAACAGATGAGGACAAGGAATTGCTTGACATTTATCACAACTGTTTCAATGACGACGATATAGATTGTCAATTAATTTGTGCCGTTTTAGAGCATATTATGCGTAATTCTAGTTCTTCAAGTGCTATACTGATGTTTCTTCCGGGTTTGGAGGACATACTGGCCGTTAGAGACAGTATTTTGTTAGAACAGAAACGCTTTAATCCTCGTAATTACCAAATATTTATACTTCACTCACAAATGCAATCATCGGATCAAAAACGGGTATTTAATCGATTGCCAAATAATTGCCGAAAAATTATATTAGCGACAAATATCGCCGAAACGAGTCTTACTATCGATGATGTAGTGTTTGTCATTGATTTGGGTAAAGTCAAAGAAAAGTCATTTGATTCGTTGATGGGTTAGTTATTTTGTTATCATTATTATTGTTTTACATTGCATTTCACATATAGTAAGTTAGCTTAGGTTATAATGATTAATAAAAACCAGATCATAGCTCATACTTTAAATAATCTATTAGTGTTTTTTATATTTTAATATTTTTGATTTATAATAATTTTAATTATCGGTAATTTTTAGGCATTTCATCACTAAAGTCTGTATGGGTCTCACAGTCGAGTGTAAAGCAACGACGCGGCCGAGCGGGTCGTACTCGTGCCGGCGTTTGTTATCATATGTATAGCAAATCTCGTTACCAAAGCTTTCAAAGTCATCAGTTGCCAGAAATATTGCGAATTCCTATTCATGAACTCTGTTTGCAAACCAAACTACTTATGCCCGACAATAGACTGTCTATTCATGAATTCTTATCTCAAGCTATGGATTCTCCGTCCATCACAAGTGTTCGCACATCTATACAACTTCTTAAAGTATGTCATAATTAAGTTGATTGTAATATATGCTGTATATTGTAATTACTCTAATTTAAATATTTTACTTATTTTAAGACAATTGATGCATTGGATTCAATGGAACAATTGACACAATTGGGTCTTCGATTACTTGATTTGCCAATTGAACCGAATTACGGAAAAATGATATTTTATTCAATTATATTGAAATGTGTCGATCCAGTCGTTACTATTGTCAGTTCATTTGCTTATCGAGATCCCTGTGCGTTGATTTTAAAATATCTTTTTTCTAAATTAATTTTTATATCAATTTTTTTACAAAATTAATTTTGTTATAAATATTTACGTTTAGTTATGATTCCGACGGCTTTGGAGAAACAGAAATCACAAAAAGACATTAAGAAACAGTTTTATCCAAACAATTCAATGAGTGATCATATTATATATTTAAATGTTTTTAACCGTTGGTTAGAAATACAAACAAAAAATGAGAGACAATTATTTTGCCGAAAGTATCTCATATCAAATACTTCTATGGAAGTGATTGAAGGCATTAGGAAACAATTGTTTGGACAGTTAATGAGTGCTGGATTTATCAAACGAGATAGTGATGAACACAATATAAATGCTGACAAATGGTCGGCTATTAAGGCTGCTCTATGTGCCGGTGCTTATCCTAAATTAATACGATTTGACAAATATGCCGAACAGTTTTGGTGTCAAAAGAATAAGATTAAATTTCACGGCTCTTCTCTATTAAACAATTTTGACAATAAGTAATATTTTTTTAGCAAAAAAATCTAATTTAATTAAATCGATAATTTTTTATTTATAGATTTGTTGGCAAACCATCAAAATTGCAGGCAATTATGCCGAAAAATTGTTGGTATATTTATGAGGAATTGATAAACACTGGCGGACGGACATCGCTGGCTAAGACATTGACTGCTGTCAGTGCCATAACAGTGGCCCTGTTTAGCGGCAAACCAACTGTTGATGACAATCAAACAGTTGTTCACGATTTAGAAAGTGATGCACAGATATTGATTGATGAATGGATTCAATTTGATTGCGATCGACAAATAAAAATGATTACTAGTTTTCTTAAACAAGAATTGCATAATGTGTTTGTACGACAAATTGATGGCAGAAACAAATCATTTAATCAATTTGCAGAAATTGATCGCAAAGTTATTCACGCAGTGGTTAGTGTTTTGGAAATTGAAGACCAAATGTCTGGCTTTAGTCCAGTAGAGCCCATATATCTGAGACCACAATTTGGAGCAACTGTACAACGTTTCGCTCCTCCGATTAGACATAAATTTGAGGTATTTAGTGAATTGATTACAATTATTATGTAATTATTTATGTTTATTCGCTATTAGTGTAATTGATTTATTGATTTTTGTTTTAGAGTCGAGAATTTTATTCAGATCGACAGTTTCGTCATCAGAGAAACAAATTTTCGGGTAATAAATCTAATAATACTTTTTATTAATTTTTTGATACAACATATTTTGTACATAACATCAGTAATGTAATTTAATATATTCATTTCATGTAATATATCTATAAATACATATTACTATAAGTCATATAAAATTAATATCATTTATCGTAAGTTACAGGTAATTGATTTATCTGTAATTGACTAAATAAAGCCTATTACTTATCATTTTGTAAAACGTTTATTAGAAAAAAAAATATTACCGGTATTTTTTTATTACCCGTAAATAATATGTTGATATCAGTTAAATTAGATAACTTAGACAACAAATTAGATAATTTTTTTTAAGAATTTATATTTATTTATAGAAAAATAGTGTATATATATATACAAAATGTTATATAAATTAAAATTAATAATTTAATATTTTTTAAAACTCCAGGCGAGTGTGTAATTACTTTTAGCTGACATATCAATATCAGTAATGTTTTTGAAAGAAAGTACACCTGTAGTCGTATCATAAGTTATGTGTCTTTGATTTGGTTTATTGTTATCATAAGTACGCTTTAGATTACCATCAATGAAGAGATTGAACTGTAGAGGGAATAGCGGATCAATGACACCAAATATTTTGATTTCTTCTACTTTATAATTAAAAGTAAACGCTTTTTGATTAGTAATTGTTTTCACGATATTCATTGTATAGTTTATAAATGAATTATTATGAGTTGTGTCGAGTTTTTTCACTGAAAATTTTGATATGAAATAGTCGTCGGGTTGACCAGAGTGGTCAGGTTTATCGGCATCATTATCGACATACAGTTCCCCTTCAGCCGATCCATTCAGACTGAGCGCAACAATCAATGTGAACGGTTGTTGTCGTGATTTATAAGTGTTTTGCCCCTCTTTTTGAGTCGGGATTATACGACCGCCTCTCACGTGAAGATTAATATGATATTCAATGGCCGATAGATTTTCCGTTTGACCTTTCTTTGTGACAATTCGTCTACCATTATAGTAGTCATACCTACAAACAGATTATATATATAATTACAGACTGTTTACTATAAAATGTGAGAAAATTAATATATATATATATATAATTTATATATAATTATTACCAAACTTCTGTATTGTCTTTATTTTGTGGAAAATATGCACTAATATTTTTGGGTTTTGACTCCAACACCGGTGACACCATCAATGCTTTTCCCCACATAAATTGTTTGTCAATTTTGAATGTATTGGTGTCGTTATAAAACTCATAAAACAATGGTCTGACAGCTGGTTCTCCAGAGATATGGTTTAAGTAAAACATAGTATAAAAGTATGGCAATAGTCTATAGCGTATAACTATTGTGCTTTTGATGGCATCCAATATCATCTGTGACTTTCCATCTTTGGCCAAAGATATGGGATCAGTTAGATGTTCATTAAAATCTCTATGAGATATCATGAATGGCTGCAATGCTGCCAATTGATACCATCGAAGACACAGTTCATTATCCGGTGCATCGCCTAAAGGATTCATATAATTAACAATATTTTAGAAAATATTATATAATTTTCTGTTTTAATAACAAATGTATATTTGTTTTAAAATTGTATATTTTTCTATAAAGCTTTTTGATAAAACCCTGTAAATAGTATACTCTATGTCATAGAGTCTATGACATAGAATCTATATACTATAGATTCATATATTCATTACCTTTAAAACCACAAACAGGAAACCCAGTTAAAGGTATGCCATATAAGCTGAACTCCAGTGTCTGGATGTTTGACTGGACTAACATATCCCACGAGGCTTTCATATTAGTGCCAATATGTGCACCTAATCTACCGCTGCCTATAAACGTTGATAAACTCATAACTAATTTTCTTTGGAGTTTTGTCTTGTCATTAGCCAAAACCTCTTTGATCTGTCATTAAAAATCAATTTACAAATAAATATTATTATAGTTAAGTTAGATTATATTAACAATTAATTTTTGTAATTATTATTTACTGCATATGTATGTTGATATCCATAAAGGTTGTGCAAAGCCAAGTGATCTAATGTATAATTATTAGTTTTACCGCCAGTAGTGTAATCAATGGTATATTTGTCTCCGTGAGTGACGTCCAGACACGGAGAGTATTGGTTTAGTTGTGAATAATAGTATTTATTCCACTGATTGTTGAGTGTAAATACTGGACACAATTGGCTCATATTATGAGTAGTGGTATACTTGAGGTCTAGTGGTGTATTGTAATCGGCAAATATGCCATCAATTTTGCCCTTCAATTTCATAACTTCATTCAAGTCATGATCAATGGTTTCTTTTACTTTATCGTTAACTTTTAATCCGAGAGTATTTTGATCGATACGGTAGGGCTCCATAAAACTCGGGTATTTCACTGAACTGTTTTTACTTTCTGTTATCAGACAGTAATAATTAAATACATTAATATATTTATGAAGTGGTCTGTAAATTATATGTTAACATGATTTACCCATTTTGCCGGCACACCAATCATAGAAAGAACCAAAATGTTTATCTTTATGACCATTGATATCCTTGATCTGAAGCCATGGTATGCTATTATCATTTTTTTGCCAATTTTTACAAACACCTTCAATAAATTCATCCGAATCACTAAGTTTTTCGCAATCGTTGGTGAAGTTGGCTTTATGTGGAACCATTACAATCCATGAGCTGATACTTTTGTTGGCGTTGTCATCAAAAAATTTGGTCAACTCCTCAAAGCCGTTGGCTCTGAACATAAGCATAGAAGTGGCGGCGTTTCCGCAGTCAGAGTCGTAGGGAATGTTTTTGTCAATCATTTGATTCTTAATGTTTTGAGCCGTTTGTAAGTTATAGCATTGGGTGCGACACATATGAAATCCCAGCGCCCAATAGGGAGGCATCGCTGGCGGACCGATGATTGTATGTAATTGTGTGTATATGTCTTGTGGTGTATCGCCAATGAAAAAGTGCTTTTAAAAAAATAGTATATTTTTTAAATACTGCGTTTAAATTAACAAAAACATGTTTTTTGTCGTTAAAAAATACTAACAAAATTCAAATGTCCGCCAACTATCTTAAATGTAAGGCTTGGCCGCGAATTTGTTATGATTTCCATAGGAAATGAGTTCAACAAAAGTACGCCATAGGGTTTGTTATCATTAGTCCATCCCATGTAAAACGGGTGCGACCCATACCAACTCGACTGATTCGCAGTTAAATTTAAATTGTATTTATTAAATATGGACCAGTGCTGCAAAATTGATATAATATAAATTATATATGACATTATGAATTTAAAAAAAATTAATTACTTCAGGATATGTCATATTATGTTTGAATCCTCTGGAGGGTGATTGTCCCAAACCATATATTAGATCGTTGGGCAATAGGTTTGTAATTTCGATAAGACCTTCACTGTATATGAATGGTGTGAAGTCACCGGTTGTGAAAATAATTTGGTTTGTATCCCGACGTTTGACTGTCAAAACAAAATTGTCATTCAATTTGGACACCAATGATATCTTTGCATTAACGGTGTCAGCAGTTATTGACTTATTAGGCTTTATGTTGTTAAGCCCTTCCGGAAGATAAAAATTAAAATTTCTTTTATCTAAAAAATAAAATGATTGGAAAACTTAATATCAATTAACTTAACGTTTGCTATAAATTTATGCTAACCTTCTTCGGGGAATATTTTAATACTGAAATGATTAGTCTTATAATAATCAATATTAACCTCCAGTGTCTCATAAACTATTGGTCCGCCGAGAAACCATTGATTGGTTTGTTTGCCATTAGAGTCGGTCTGATTTTTCAGATATATTGGACTGTTTTTAACCCGAAGTTTTGCTTTTGAATCACTGCTGTCGATGACAGTATAAGCAGGAATTGTATTTTTATTATCTTTATTAGTCACTAATACATTAAAACACTGAATCTGGTTATCTCTGGCAGTTGTATCCCAACAACAACCCGCTTCTCTACATTGGTCTTCACTTTTGGTTTTGTTAGGACTTAATGGCAAACATTCGTATCTAATATTTGAAATTATGTGTCCATAAAATAATTGTAATTTAATAAAAATTGAATTATAGATTATAATAATATAATAACAATAAAAATATTCAAATATATCTGACCTAAGATCCGATTCAATAGCACACCTGTGGTCACCCTTTTTCCAGATTTCTCCCCAAAGAAAAGGTGATCCAATGCCAATCAGAGCACACAATATTATCACTAAAATTATTTGAAATTTTTTATTATAGAAAAAATTTCCCCAAGAAATCTGATTATCGATGAGTTTTTCCTGCTCTTCATTTAAATTTTTCATTATTTAAAAAAAATATATTTTTATTAAATTTAAGTAATCAAGTAAATTATAAAAATATTTAACTAAGTAGAAATTTAAAAAAAAAACAAAATAAAAATCACATTTAATAATAATTATTACATTATAATAGGCAATTGGTTTAATACACTTAACTACTAAAATATTATTGGCAAAAATAATGCATCATATAATAATCTGAAAAATATTTTTTAACTAAAATATTATATAAATGTTTTAATATACTATTGTTATAAGCCTTAACTCTATGACATTTATTTTTACACCAATTGTCGCAAATTCTTAGGTATTGTCAGATCACTTCAAAACATCAAAAGTCTTTATAATTTGAGTTAAAAGATAAACTTATTTTATTAATAATAATAATAAAACAGCAAAAATAAATGATAAGAAAATTATCTGACACTCAATAATAATAATAATAACTTAGAAATGCGGAATTATTATAATTATTGTTATTATCATGAAATATATTTATCATTTTAATAATATATATATATATATATAACATTTTTTATTGCACATAAATATAGACAAAATAATTTCTTGATTATTGAATACTTTTATCAATAATTGTCAATAATATTAGTTAATCAAACGGATCTTTATATTATAATAATTTAAGTGTTTATTAAATAAATATAAAATTTACAAAATTAATTGGTGTATAAACTTATATGTAAAGAAAGATTATTATGAAAATTTACTTTCAAAAATAAAAACAACATAATGTAAAAATATAAATAATAGACTATATGTTACAATAATTTGATATAAAATTTTAAAAAATATTTAGTTTACAAAAAAAATCATATATACAATCTAATTGTTGGCAAATTTCTTCAAACTAAACAATTGGTGACCCATAAGAAAGCCATTATCATTAGGAGTTGTCGTCGACTCATTAGAAATTTCAGGTGTAATGGTTTGGTATCTTTGACTACTATTACCGTTACTATTACTACTAGTAGTAGTAGTAGTACTGGTGGTAATAGTGTCCAATTCAATGATTTCCCATTTGCCATTAGTTTCACTATTGAATTTTGGCTTTCTTTTAATTTGATATGAATTTTCATCGATTTCAATGATTTCTAAAGTATTTTCTGGCGATTTTACCGAAAATGTTGTAAAACTTGTGGACTTTGGCAAAGTTGTTGGTTTAATAAACGGTTTTTTAAATCGTTGAACAGTTTTCGGTAAAAACGGGTTTCTAATACTGTTGGATGTCTTTGCGGGTGCGGACACTTTAGGTATGGACAGTGTCCGTATGGCACCGACCAGTGGGACAGCTGTCGGCGATAACATCTTTCTCGATGCATAAGCAGTGATGTCGTGTTCATTGAAATGTAATTCACAAACCCATACATTGTCCGGAATTTTTTTGTCGTTTGCATAATAAGTGTTTATAATTGTCATATTGTTTGATGTTTTAACCCATTGTTCGCATCTGTATTCACAAAATTATACAAAATATTCAATAATTATTTCAATTAAACAAAATTATCACTGTTTGACATATTTTTATATTATTAATATTATATTATGTCATATCATATCAATAAAAAATAATATACGAAATTAATGTAAAAAAATAATGGATCCTTGATTTTAAATAATATACTGTATTATACAGTATATACATATTAACACACAAACATAGGAACCTTGGTCAACCTAGCTATTAATTAATATAACCTAGCTAATAATAATGTTATTTTCAACAAATATCCTATATGCAATTATGCTATATTTATTATAAATGTTAATTAATAATTGAAATCTATGACCTATGACCTTTTAGGATGTTTGGTTGGGTATCTGAAAAATGATAGACTCCTATTCAAAATAGTAGAGTCGCAGCCCATAAATGAACAACTCTTGACTTTTGGCATTTCAGTTATTAATGTTTTAATTAATTAATTTTAATAATAATAATAAATTGTGTTTTTAATTAATAATTAATTCAATGAAATAATAACAATAATTACTGGAAATGACATTTCAATTTAGGCGACACTACTCTACATATAAACACACTGTATATACATATTGTATGATAAATGTATTAAATATAATATATTTATTTGTGTTGAAACATATTGCTTGTAAAGTAAGCATAAGTGTCAACAATTACGACTCATAGACTGTACTCCAGAGAAATTATTTTTCCCCAATAGGTTAACAACTTTTTTTGTTTTTTATTTCAATTATTACTACAAATAAATTGATTTTTAAAACATCTGTAATATTACGTTAAATAATAATAAAAAGTGACAATTATTTTGTCGGTTTAGTTGACATTAGACTTAATATTTGTTTCAAATAATTTTCATTACAATTATTGATTATAAATCATGTCCAGCAAAGAGAGTCGTGAATTTGATATAATAGTTTTAGGCGCCAGTGGTTTCACCGGTCAATTCATTACCGAAGAGTTGGCCAGAAGTGCACCAAAAGAGGGCATCAAATGGGCGATCAGTGGCCGTAATAGAGAAAAACTGTCGCAAGTGTTGATCACTGCCACAAAAGAGACGGGAATTGAGTTGTCAGACATTGCTATCATTGAAGCCGATGTCCAGTCGGATGAGTCGTTGCGTGCGATGACTGGGCGCACACGTCTTGTCCTCAACGCTGTCGGTCCTTATTGTCTATTAGGCGAACCAGTGGTCAAAGCATGCATATTGACGGCAACCAATCACATGGACATCAGCGGTGAAAATAAATATATTGAAACATTGTATTCAAAATACGATAACTTAGCCAAAGAAAAGGGGATCTATTTGATCAGCACTTGTGGTTACGATTGTATACCCAATGATATAGGCGTTCAGTACTTGAAGAAGCACTTCCCCGGAGATATCAACGAAGTTGAATCATATATGAAAATCAATGCGGGAAACAAAGTATACATTCAATATATTGATGACATTTGTTGATCTCTTAATCATTGTATTTATTAATGCCATCAAATGTTTTTTTTGGTGATATTTTCAGGGATTTGTTATCAATTGGGGAACTTGGAAGTCGATGATACATGGCTTTGATGTCATTGATGAGTTAAAACGATTAACGACACCGAAACAGATGACAGATTCAAAGTTTAAATTGAGATCAAAGTAGAAAAATAGTTTATTAGATTATTAGTTAATACAATTAAAGCCATTATCTTATTAACAGAAACCTACCGTTTGTTGACAATTACACAGACGGCTGGTGTCTACGATTCCCGGGTAGTGACCAATCAGTGGTACAGCGCACACAACAATACAGATATGAGAAGTTTAATGAGAGACCGACACAGATTGATGTTTACTTTAGTTATCCTAATATTTTCATACTTATCGGTGTTATGCTATTGGCCGTTGTATTTACCTTACTATCAATGTGTCGATGGGGTCGTTCACTACTTGAATCCTATCCCGAGATATTCTCGTTTGGCACACACACTAAAACAGGTCCCACTCGACAACAATTAAAGGATATCACATGTAAGACAACACTTGTGGGCAAAGGTTGGTCCGAAAAATTGGTGGATCCAAGTGATGAACCATCAGTACCACCAAATGTTACAACTGTTGTCGTATTTGAAGGCAAAGATCCTGGATATACGGTTACCAGTACTTGTTTGGTTCAATCGGGCATTACTTTAATCAAGGAGTTCGACAAATTGCCCAAAAAGTAATAATTTAAAAATAAAATAATAAATATTTTAAGTATCTTTCACTAAAAACTATTAATTTATTTTTAATAGTGGTGGTGTCCTAACACCTGGATCTGCATTCAGTGATACTGGAATCTATGATCGCTTGAAAGCTAATGGTATATCTATTGAAATAATCAAATAATTGAAATGTTGCGGATGTTATGATGAAAAATTCAGTCCAAAATATATGCCATTCCTATATAATGATGTATTTTAAGTTAAATATACTATAAATTAAATTTTATTTTTATATAATTATTATAGCATTTATTTATTATTATACTTATCTGTAACATTTATTTATAAAAATAATTTACAACAAAAATCTATATTAATAAAATACGGACAATTGTTGAAAATTTATTTACTAGTACTGTATCTGTGCATAATTATTAACAAATAACAATACTATATGTACGGTAACAATTAAATTATTAATTTTTTGGTATACTTTATTCACAATTTCAATTATACAATATTACCGTAGCATTTAAAATGTTATTTAAAAATAGCAACAAATATATTGGCAATAATAGATTTCAACATACATTTAGATTGATACAGTATATTAACAAATTGCAAGATATAAAAAAAACATTTTTAAAAATAGATTTGTTTGAATAAAATTTTAGAGAACTTTAAAATTATTTGTAAAAAACCAAAAACCAATTAGATAAAAAAATAAACACCGATTACTAACTAACTGACCAATTCAATGGTTAAATCATGAGCTTTAAGGCGATCAAAAATACCGGTGCCATCAAATGCAGCGCCAGGAGTTAGGATACCACCACTTGATATAAAAATAGTTAGAAATTAAAATATCATATAAATTTAATTTCCAAATTAAAATTGATTACCTATTGGGCAGTTTGTCGAATTCTTTAATTAAAGTGATACCCGCCTGAACCAGACAAGTACTGGTGGCTGTATATCCCGGATCTTTTCCTTTAATCATAACTATTGCCTTTTTATTTGGTGGAACTTGTGGTACATCTGTAGGTTCAGCTAACTTATCTGCCCATCCATTTCCAACAATTTTAATGCTGAATGACGTGTCTTTCAACTGTTCCCGAGTGGGACCGACTCGACTAAACATACCAAATGAGAAAAACTCGGGATATCTCTCCAAAAGATTGCGTCCAAAACGAGTGGATGCCATTAACCCAAACAATCCGCCCGATATCATAATACCGATCAAATATAACATTCCTCTGACAACAAAGTAGGTCTCGATCTGAATGGGTCTTTCATTGAATTTTTCGTATCGATATTGTTGTGTTCTTTGCACTACTGATCGGTCACTTCCCGGAAATTGTACGCACCAGCCATTGGCGTCTTCGGTACGGAACGGAAGAGTTCTGTTAGGACAACATTATTGCATCAAATTATTAATAAAAAAATTACTTAATTTTATTTCAAAAATTACTTTCTCTCCAATTTATATTTTGAATCGGGACGTTGTTTGGTAAAGACTTCGCTATACAATCGTCGGCGCAATTCCTTGAGCTCACCCATTGCGGCAAAGCCGTGAATGGCTGACTGCCAGGTGCCGTAGTTGGTGTGGACACCCTTTAATCACATTTAAAAATTCAATTAACTATAATTAAAACTATAACTGCATTTAGACAAACTTGTGGTCCAGTCTTGAAAGACATATAAGTCTCGACGCCATTAAGTTCTCCATCAAAGTGTTTCTTCAAGAATTGGACGCCTAAATCACAGGGAATACTATCCCAACCGCACGCGCTTATGATGTAAATACCCTTTTCTTCAGCCAACTTATGGTATTTCAATTGAATACTTTCCATATATTGTGGTTCACCACTAATATCCAGATGATTAGTAGCCGTTTCTACACAAGCCTTGACCACCTGTTCCCCGAAGAAGCGATACGGACCGACAGCGTTGAGGACAAGACGTGTGCGCCCAGTCATCGCACGCAACGACTCATCCAACTGGACATCGGCTTCAATGATAGCAATGTCTGACAACTCAATTCCCGTCTCTTTTGTGGCAGTGATCAACACTTGCGACAGTTTTTCTCTATTACGGCCACTGATCGCCCATTTGATGCCCTCTTTTGGTGCACTTCTGGCCAACTCTTCGGTAATGAATTGACCGGTGAAACCACTGGCGCCTAAAACTATTATATCAAATTCACGACTCTCTTTGCTGGACATGACTTGTGATTATTAATAAAATAAATTTATTATTTTAAAAAAAATTAATGCATTTAATAATTTTAATTTATCACTAATTTTATTAATAAAATTTTTGAGAGATGACAATAATTAGTTAATTATAAATTTAATCTACAAATTATAACGACTATTATATCATATACTATACTAAATGAGTATTAAATATCATATTTACTTTAGTTTATAATATTGAGAGAAACTATTGATGAATCAGAATAATAATAATAATAATAATAATAATAATTGCAATCTTTATTTCAAACCAATTTACTATTATAATAATATAATAAACTAACTATTATTATTAATTTCAATTTATATTTTAAATAAAATAACTGATAATATAGTGATAATACTTTAGTGTAATAAACAAAACAAGTTTTGAGAGAAGGAAAAAATATTTTTTAAAAGTCTATATTAATATTCAAATGTGTTATATATAGTACTTAAATGATTAGACAAATTCAATGAAAAAAAATTAATTAATAATTAATTTATGACAAATAAAACTAATAGTTTCTATACTCAACACACAAAACATAAAATTTATGACATTTAAAGATACAATAATTAATAACTATTAGTAAATTTCATAAAAGTTAATAATCCTATTAAATGTTAACAAAAAATGCAAATGTTTTTACAGTATTTACTTTAACGTAATTACTTGAGTAGACTAAACATAAAACCAGATTTGGATAAAACAGTAAATTATTGTATATTTATTAATATTATTGAATTACAAATAGTGTTGGTAATTTTTCGCAATTCAATTTTCGATTGCCGCAATTATTGCTGAAAATTGCGTGCATGAGGGAATGTATAAAAATTAACTTTGACAACGTTAAAAATTTCATTTACTATAGAATCTATAGTATAGCTTAAGATAATTTACTAATTTATTATTATTTTTATATGGTTTTTAGATGGCAACATTTTATGATAAAATAATTAAAATTTAAATAATTAATTTATGTTTTTATTCATATTCTTTACCATTTAAATTTTGTTAATTTTTAAAAAATTATAAATTGTTCTATGTTACAATTGCGATTTTCGCAATCGAGCTTTTTGCAATTTCACGGAATTTCCGACAAATGCAATTGCGCATTTTGCAATCGGTACATCACTAATTATAAATAAATATTTTAATACTGTTTGGGTGTCTGCTGTTGTCATGGAAACTCAAATTTATAGGGTTTATAGATATTTAAATTATTAAATTATGTAGCATGCTAAGTTTTGTCAATTAAATCATTAATTTTAAAAATATCTTTCATTTAAATTTTTAACTAATATTATTCAAAAAAAAAAAAATAAATAAATTTATTTTCAATTATATTGTATGAAACACCAATTGGTAATTTTCAACAACAATAAAGTTTACCGATAAACCAATATTTATAAATTGAAAAAATTAATATTTAATGAAATTTCAAACAATAATAATACAGTACAATAAAATTTTTGTATATTTGGTATAAAATATAAAAATTTTGTTTTTATGAATTCAGAATCGTTAATTAAGTTATTGAAAAAATTATAAATAATTAAAACAAATAATAAATAATTAATAATCAGATCATTTTATAAAAATAAAAGTTCAGAAATATATTTGTTCTCAAAAATTTAAACATTTAAAAAAAACGAGTAAATAATGATAAATCAATACTGAAAAAAACATAATAAACTCTAAACGTGAGAAAATAATCCTAATTTCAATTAGTATTTTTACAAAACAAGTGTATATAAATTAAAGGAGAAAATGTTTAAAACTAATTTTTATGAAATAATTTCAATTCTGTAACACAAATGTGATACACTTTTCAAACAAACAACCAAAACATAAATCATTAGAATATCATATCATAATGTTATGAGTAGTGGTGTAACACAACTGGCAATTGTCCGATAAATCCAATAAAAAATTTAAAATCCTCGAGCCTTTTGTGCGGCCACAAACTCGGGGTAATCAATATATCCGTCCCGATTTTTATCGTCCATTTCGAGTATAGGATCAATCATTTCTTCCAACTCTTTGTCTGTAAATATTTTAGTAGTTCCCGAAGCGGGTGCGTTGGCGCCCAAGTGTTTGCTTTCTTCAACTAAAATAAAAATAATAATTAGATTATTATAATGAGTTATAAACAGCATTTCAAACAGATTACAAACCGTGCCAATGGATCAGTGATTTGATGAGTTCACTTCCGTCCAACTTATTGTTGTTGTCGTTGTCATGCATTTTAAAATAGTGAAACTGAAGCTCTTCTTCGGACATTTTGCTCAACTCTTCTGATCCAAGGGCTCCGTGTAAGTGCTCTTTCAGATGTTGTTTATCATGAATACGTTGGCTGTCATGCAATACATTAGATCCCTGTTGTGGCATCTGTTGATATTGAGCCACTTGTTGTGGCACTTGTTGGTAATGTTGTTGTTGATGTTGGTGTTGTTGTTGTTGTGGTACACCTTGTTGTACCTGAACCGGCACCTGTTGTCCGGATTGATAGGAGTGGATTGGCTGTTGTCCTCCCTGTTGTTGAGGTATTCCTGTTGTCAACAGATTTAATATATTTATAATCAGTTTTATCAAAATTATAATACAAACCATATTGTTGTTGATATTGTGCTATCGTTTGTAAACTCATTAATAAAGTGGTTATTAAATAGACTTCAATTAAATTAACTATCGATGACTTTAAGGACATTTCTCTCTGTTTTAAAGACAAAAAAACAAAATTAAAGACTTTGTGAAAAATAAATAATTAAAAATAAATAAAAAATACCATTTTTGTCATATGACTGATGGCCAGAAAGTGGTGCACACAGAGAACTTTGATGATAACTTTGGATCAAATGATAACTTCAATTTGTGCCACAAATATATATATCAGCTGTTGTTATGCTATTGTATTGACAATCACTGTCACAACTGATAACACATTGACTGTTGTTTTGATTATTATTATAAAGTTATAAATAAAAGTCAATAAAACCAATAATTAAATGTTTTTTTATTAATCAAACATTTAGTCATAAATTGTTTGAAACAAATGTTAAGACAAACTCTTCAAAGACTTTAATAAACAGACGTGTCTTTCAACAGACTTTTAATCTAATCTCTAACACAAACAACGTTACGATTATATCATAGTTTTTTTGGTACCCATTGACTGTAATTATATACAATATTACATTACATTTACCTAAATGTGTGACCCATTTGTATATGTGTTCAACTGTACAGTAGAGCAATGAGTCGTTCACATACAACGTGTTATTATTTTATTAAAAGGCATTTCAATACAAAACACAAACACGTGTTTGAAATTTGCATTAAATTATTTAACATTGGATCTGATTATCACTTAATTTGACACCAATTTAATAATAAAAAAGAGAGAGAAGTTTGTGACCAGACATGGGTAAGGCTAAGAAACTGAAGCACTTGAAGGCTATGAGGAATCAGCCGTTGGACCAACAGATCGATGATCACAATGCCATCAAACCGAAGGATAGACAGAAATTTAAGAATAGAGACAATTTGGACGAAAACAGTGGACAACAAAAGGTATGACAACGGAATCAGTTGTTAAGACAATAATTAATTTAAAGATTTACTCGAACTGACAGTACGTCGACCCGAAATTGACGGCACGTATTCTGAAGTCGGCCCGAAAACAACAGACAGAACTCGAAGAAGAAATAGGTTTACATGAATCGGGAACTTCTGGTGGTGACAGTCGACAGAGAAAAGAGACAAAAGTGTCGTTATTATCTTCAAAGAAAAATAGTGACACTGAATCTGACAACGAGTATGCATCGGGAGATGAAACGAGACTTAGCGGTGATGACTGTTATGAAGCCATTGAGATTACACCCGAAGACGAGAGAGCACTCGAAATGTTTATGAATAGAGATGAATTCAAACGTAAGACTTTGGCCGATATTATTGCCGAAAAAATTAAAGAAAAAGAGACCGAAATACAGACACAATTGTCAGACGCAACCGGTATTAATATTCACGACTTAGATGACAAAGTTGTCGATCTTTACAAAGGAGTCAAACAGGTTTTGTCTCGTTATAGAAGCGGAAAATTGCCCAAAGCTTTCAAGATTATACCAGGACTGGCCAATTGGGAACAGGTATATATGTTTAATGAAATATTGGTATTGTTTTGTTTTTTATATTTGTTTAATTTTGTTTATTAGATATTGCAAATCACAGAACCCGAAAGTTGGACGGCATCATCAATGTTGGCGGCCACCCGTATATTTACATCAAATCTAAAGGAACGTATGGCTCAGCGCTTCTTTAATTTAATACTTTTGCCGCGACTTAGAGATGACATCGCAGAGTATAAACGGCTAAACTTTCATTTATATCAATCAATGAGGAAAGCCCTGTTCAAAACGGGTGCCTTTTTTAAAGGTATAATCATTCCTCTCTGTGAATCTGGTAATTGTACTCTCAGAGAAGCTGTCATTATTGGATCAGTGATGGCCAAACATCACATACCACTTCTACATTCGTGTGCAGCGATGCTTAAAATTGCCGAAATGGAGTATTCCGGTGCCAACACTGTTTTTCTGCATATACTGATCAACAAAAAATATGCCCTACCATTTAGAGTAATTGATGCATTGGTTTATCATTTTCTACGTTTTGCAAATGAAAAACGCCAACTACCTGTCCTCTGGCATCAGTGCTTACTTGTGTTTGTACAACACTACAAACAGGACATCTCGTCGGAACAAAAGGAGGCGCTTATGGAACTTCTTAGGGTTCAAACACATTATCAGATAACACCTGAAATAAGAAAAGTGTTGTTAAATTCAAAAGCCAGGGATGAAGAGATGGCCGAACCATCCGTTGCAGAGACGGCATCAGTCACTGAAAGCATGACATTTGATGAATAATTAATGTTTCAATTATTTTCATATTATTAATAAAGTAAATAACATTTATTAAAAATATTATTAAACTAATTGTATATATTTATAAAATGATTAAAAAAATCTTTAACTTGAAAAAATCATTGGTTCAAATGGCATTGGATCTAATGTGTGATATTAATTAATGAGTGAAAAATCAATAAATAATTTGATGAGTGACTAACATTTAATAAGCAGATAATGAAATTAATGTTAAAATATGAGATTTCTTAAAATAAATGCTAAAATTAGTAAAATAGCATTTGGTTTGAGTAATCGATATCCCGAAGGTATCGATATATTGAGCGAATCCATTGAGATCAATGGTAAGGGATGAGCTTCAGTGTTGAACACCCATTGGTTTAATGGCAATAAGTCATCACTAGAGAAGATAAGATACAAGTATTTCAAAGTTTCGGCCAAAAAGAAACTCTGTTGGACGTCGTCTTTGGTCGAATTGGTGTCATTAGTGTTCCAAATACCGGAAAATCCGGAGTCTGTCCTACAATGAGTATTGATGGCCTGAGCGGCACTCCAGGCATACTCGCGATATCGTTGGTCGTGAGTGAATCTCCACATATAAAAGTAACTTTCAATGACTTCGGGTCGTAAAATGTATTGTCTTTCGTCATCAAAGGCAATCGCTTCTTGAAATGATGTAAACTGAAAGGCTTCGGGACCGATATGTGTGGCCGTACGCCGATAGGACTCATAGCATGTTTCGGTTATATTAGCAGCCAATTCCATATAATGTTTTTTTGTGTCTTCATTTTGATATTGAGCACCCAATGCAAACATACCGCCAGAAAAACAGGCCAAATGCTCCATCTTATGCTCCAAATACCCGGATAATTGTTTTGCCAGATAAGTCATACCATTCTTTGATTTTTGTACCAATTTTTTCTCAATAGCTTTTACAGCATTGTTATACATCCTAAAAGCCTGTATATCGGTTCCATTAGATTGAATCCAAGACTTGATAAGATACTCATAAAAGCTGTCGCCTAAAGCACCGACAGATATCAAATCTGGACCCCATTTACCAGTATTTGGATAAATATAATTAATATATAGCCCATCATAAACTTTGTCGAGATTTTCAATTAAATTGCGAATTTTGACCACTTTTTCTCCATATTTCATATCACCGGTGATTGAGCTCAGGTACATAAATTCGAGATGAGTCGATCCGACTTCAGAAAGTATTGAAGCGCCCGAAGCCCAGCCATAATTTTGACTCTTACCAGTCTTCGGGTTTATTAGTGATAGTGATAAACCTGTCTTTGTTTCAAACGCCGGTAACATGTGATCCGTTATATGAATTGCTTTCTCCAGAAATACCGGGTCTTTAGTGAATGCATAACAACTCAATAGTCCGCCAACAAAACGGATGACTGTCTCAAATACTGACATTTCTGAGTCGACGGCATCGAAGTTAAGATTTTTAGAGATCCAATCCCTTCCTCTCATAAACTCATTTGTCATATTCATTATGTATAACGTGTCCAATGAGTCGACAATAGTAGCGCCCAGTTTTGAGTTACCACCGAATATATCGCTGGTATGTGACGTACGGGTCAGTGGCCGTAATTCGTTATGACCCCACGCGTACTTCACATAGTTATCCCACGAGTGTCTCATCATATCCTTAACAAACTCTCTCTGTGCCCGAACCGTCACATTGGAATCGACTCCTGACGGCAATGAACTGCTGAGGAAAGCCTTACTCTCTTTGTTAGACATGGGCTTAGATTGTAATAACTTGTGTACCGTCTCATCGCTACTCATTGATCCGTATGATATCAGACATGTCAACGCAAATATGAAAATCGCAGCTAAAGTCAGGTGTTTGTTGATTGTCCGGGTCGTCATTGCATTGGACAGTCGTATCGGAGATGTATTTAAAAAAAAAATAAGTCACAAAAAAATTGACAGAAATTATTTAAATTAACATAAATAATAATTATTAAAAAACAACAATTTATATCATAATATTAAATAAAATAATTATAACTAATGGATGATAAATGCAATTCACTGGAAGTGACTTTAAACTTATGATATAATAAATTGCATTTTTACAGTTTGTATTATATTATTGCCAGTGTTTTGAATGTATTTATTATTTGGGTGTTTGAGTGAACTTTTTTTTGAAGGAAAACTTTAATCTCAAACACCTCTCTCTCTYTCTCTCTCTTTCTTTCAATGTGTTTGTCTTAAATGATTTGAAGGCTATATATGTTGTAGTTGTGGAACCACTTTCACAGAACATGTGTTTACTTAACGATATACAGTATATAATATATATTTATTTGACAAACAATATACTCATTTCATATGTAATGATGCCATCAATTCAATTGGTTTCAAATTATTGTTGTTTATTATTATATTATATAATTTATATTAAATATCTAGAATTAGGAAATTAAATACTTTTATTATTTATTTTTTAAAAAAGTTATTCGATCTAGATAAATTATATCTGTATTAAAATATCAAACAAATATAAAAATTATCAGCAAACTATTTATATTTTTTAAAAAATCATTAAAAATAAAACATGATATTTGTTTAATCATTTTTTAAAGCTAAATGTAAAAACAATTTCAAATATGTGCCAAATTTAGTCATAAAAATTATACTTTTTCCTACAACTTATTTAGTTCAATATTAATTTTAGTTAATAAAATCTTAAGGATTATACTAAATATCCTATTATACAAATAGGAGGATAGATTAATATAAATTATTTTTAAGGAAATATTGTTAAAAATTTATTAAATTAATTTATTACATGTGTATGAATTACAATTTAAAATTGTAAATTAATATTTTTGATAAAAAATATGTTATCAATTGTTTTTTAAAGCCCTGACATTATACATTTAAAAATTACAAATAATTTTATAAAATAAATAAGTATTTATGTAATTAGCAATTATGTTAATTATTATTTTGTTGAAAACAAAAACAATTTACAACAAATTTATAACTTATTATTTAGTCAGTTGTTTAATGTTTGGTTTGTGTTATTTAAATATCTGAAGTGAAATCTAATCTATCGGACAAATACTCCCCAATAATACTGTATATTGATTTGCATTCATATAAACAAGTTTTTCATGTATGTATTAAATACTGTATTAATATTATATTTTCTAATCACTTATTTTTATTATAATATTTCAGGGAATTTTCTCCATTATAAACACTTACAATTTAAATGATAAAATTTTCCATTGGAAAATGTCCAATTAGTATCTAGGTAACGCAAGCTATCAAGTTGCTTGACAATTAACTAAAAAATTACCCACTTAAATTATATATAATATAACACTATGTTGTGTTAGTGTAACATTTAATGATTGCTTTGAAATATATTAACCTAATTTTATAGCATTTACTTAAAATGATTTTTAAAATAATAATAAATATATATTACTAGTATATTAATTTGCACACATATAAACACAAATTATAATTGCTTATTGTTGAAATAATTGACTTAAAGCACACACACATAACATTTTGTTAATGTCAACAACTTTAATTGTGTAATGAAAATCATAGAAACAAAAAATATAGATAAAAGTAGATTTTCAGTAAAGTTTGCTTATTATATAAACAATTGTTAGTTAAATGTGTTTTCTCATAGTGTGTTTGCAAAAAATTGTTAATTCAATGCTTTACTGCATTCAATTAAATAAATAAAATAAGTTGCGATAAAAAAAGTCTGAATAAAAGTCAAAACACGTCTATATTATAGATAGACTACAGTATATTATACACCACTACTTATGTTTATAATATTATGATTGAATGGCAATCAACTAAATTTTATAATTACAGTGAAAATCAATGCCAACGTTTCATTTTTTCTTATTTTATAACTTCAATGTTTAATTTATTCCCACACATACTGTATAAGCCCCCTCTCTATCATATGATTTAACATTTTAATATACTATATTTGTGTTGAATTGTTTTATTAATTTAATATTTTGTTTTGTTTAATAAACAATACAGTATTAGTATATAAAATAATATTTTAACAAAATATTTACAACACAAATATTGTTTATACAAATAACTTCCAGGTTATGAACTTTATTTTTAGTACTAATTCTACATATTTTATATTATTATACAATAATATCCATTAAATATTTGCTTATCTAATAATATATCCACATTTAAATATATGAATAAACATCTTATCTAATATAAAATATAAACGGATAAATATTTTTAAAAATTTTGTTTTATGTTTCCTATTATATTGCATTTTCGACAATAAAATTGCTGCAAAAAAATATTGTCAAAATTGATGATTAAGTTTATTTTATCACAAGTGAAGTTAACTGTAAATTTAATTTAAATGATTTATTAATACCTTTGAAATAATATATTAATATTTTTGAAATAATATATTTTTAATAATTTTCAATATATACAACTGTTTGTGTATTAAAATTAAAATATGCGAACAAATATGTTATCAAAGGAAACACTTTTACCCGCATATTATCAAAAGCCGGTGCCGTTTATAAAGATATTCAAAAAATATTTACCGTTTACGGCTATAATTATGTTATTGACATTAAGTGTATTTTGCTATATATTTATGCCAAACATTGGAAATCCAACTGATTTTCTTCCCAAAAGTTGGCCATTAATGCAACAGACGGTGTCCGAAGACATCGACGCAGAAATGGCAACCAATCCATCGCTTCCAGTTGTTTCTCAAACTAGTGATCAATTGGCTTCAACTGTAAATACTTATGATAATAATCGAGTGTTGATTAATCAACAGAATATAGACGACAACAATAAAATCAAAGACACCGTTAGATCTGATAGTACGGACAGTTCTATGAAAAGGCCGTTTGTTAATATGTTGCCATCAGGTGATGATACTAACGCTACAGTTAGGGCACAAAGAGATTTTATTAAGGATATGATGAGACACTCGTGGGATAACTATGTGAAGTACGCGTGGGGTCATAACGAGTTGCAACCACTGACCCGTACATCACATACCAGCGATATATTCGGCGGTGACTCAAAACTAGGCGCCACTATTGTCGACTCATTGGACACGTTATACATAATGAATATGACGGATGAATTCATGAGAGGAAGAAATTGGATTTCCAAAAATCTTAACTTCGGTGCCGTCGACTCAGATATGTCAGTGTTTGAGACAGTCATCCGTTTTGTTGGCGGACTATTGACTTGTTATGCATTCACTAAAGACCCGATGTTTCTGGAGAAAGCACGTCATGTAGCGGATCACATGTTACCGGCTTTTAATACCGATACGGGCCTACCATTGGCACTGATAAATCCAAAGACAACTAATAGTCACAACTATGGTTGGGCTTCGGGAGGTGACTCGATATTGAGTGAACTTGGATCCCATCATCTAGAGTTCATGTATCTGAGTGTAGCCACGGGTGATATAAAATATAAAAACAAAGTAATGAAAATCCGTAGTGTTGTCGATAACTTAGAAAAGCCATACAATGGTCTCTATAGAAATTATATAAATCCCAAAACCGGACAGTGGGGTCAGGACGAGATATCGATCGGTGCTCTCGGCGACAGCTTTTATGAATACCTCATTAAAGCATGGATTCAGTCCAATGGAACCGATGAACAGGCACTTCGACTTTATAACAATGCTGTTCAAGCGATTAACAATAATTTGGTAAAGAAGTCAACTAATGGTTTGACATATTTGGCGAAACAGACATACGGCCGGTTGGAACATAAGATGGAGCACTTGACCTGTTTTTCTGGCGGTATGTTTGCTATTGGAGCTCAATATGAAACCGATGCCAACAAAAAGCAATACTATATGGCTTTGGGAGCTAATATAACGGACACGTGTTATGAGTCATATCGCCGAACGGCAACACAGATCGGTCCCGAAGCCTTCTTCTTTACACCAAATGAAGAAGCAGTTGCTCTCAATAATAATGAAAAGTATTATATATTGAGACCCGAAGTGATTGAGTCCTACTTTTATTTATGGCGTCTCACTCACGACCAACGGTTCCGCGACTACGCCTGGAGTGCCGCTCAAGCCATTAATAAGTATTGTCGGACAGACTCCGGGTTTTCCGGTATTCGCAATACAAGTGATATAAACTCAGCCAAAGATGACGTCCAGCAGACCTTTTGGTTGGCAGAAGGACTCAAATATCTTTATCTTATTTTCTCTAGCGATGACTTATTGCCATTAAATCAATGGGTATTTAATACAGAAGCGCATCCCTTTCCAGTGTTAAATCTAAACAAAACATATCTAACAGAAAATGTTTTATAATTATTTATAAATTAGTTTAATTTGTTATTATTTTTTTAATTAATGATTTATTTAAATGTAAAATTTTATAAATAATTATATTTTATACTAATTGCCTATTTTATAACAGATAATTTAATATTTTTATACAATTTATCAAAAAAATAATTTTACCGATAATTTTAATTTTATATATACATACTCTGCTTGAGTGTGAGTCAGAAGTTATGATTTTGTATTTTTAAAAATAATTTTTTAACATTTAACTTATTATAACACAAAAAAATAATCATTATATTAATGATTATTAATTTATGCTAATTTGTGTTACCAAGTCGTTTTGTATAATTTTTTGTTTATAAATAAATAGTGCAAATATTGAAATTGATTTATAGTAGTAAAAAAATTATATTTGAATGACATGATATCAAAAATTTACGATTTTCTTTAAGATCTCATAATTTTTTTATTGTAATAATTTCAAAGATTACTACTAAAAACTTAAAATTCTTGAATATATTTATTTATATATCGAATATTCTATATCAACAAATCAATTACTACATTAATTAATTACAATTATTAATAAATATTTATATAATTTATCACAAGATTTATCATTAAAAATTTATTGTGAAATATAAACTTATAACAATGTTTCATTTCATAACATTGTTTTATATTTATAAACTCATTTGCGTTTCTATACAAAATAATAACATAAATTAAAAATATAAACATTTGAAATAATCAAAACAACTATTTGAAAAAAAATTAATTATCATTTGAAATAATCAAATGTCAATGAAAAAAATAACTTATAATTCAAGTCATAAATAATTTAAAAAGACTATTAAGTGTATATCAACCGATCGCTGCTTATAAAACAATTATCATTATTATAATTGTTATAATTATGCAATAAATTAGATTTTAATTCAAATTGAGAACATTTGTTTCCATTTAAAGCACTGGTGTTGTGATTATCGACTGTAACACCATTAGGACTGTCGACTGCAGAATTGTTAGGCAAATCATTATTTGAATTTGTATTTCGTGTCGACTCAGTCGTCATATTGTCAGAAGAATTGCTTGAATTTGAATCAGAATTTGCTGACATTTGTCTGTCATTAGTATCACTACTTTCAGATTGGTTTTCATCTGCAGGAGCCGGTGGTTCGGGTGGAGGTTGTGGTGTGTGTTGTCTGACTGTAGCCTCTATAGTAATGGGTTGGACTTCACTTAGTATATGAGGCAACTCATAGGTGTGGAAAAAGTAAATCATTGAGTGTTGAATAAAGAGCCAAGAAGTTAGAAGTGCTAGTCCTGAGTATTGGCCATTGAATCGGTAATCATAAGCGTAAAAAGCAAAGTGATATAAATAGAAGAATTTCAGCCAATGTCGTCGTGTGAGTGCCGTATGTGAGCACATGGCGTCAAACTGGTCGGCCAACCAAACAATTAGTATAACATAGAAAGCGGTTGTCGTGTCATTAAAAAACTCAGACATAATTGCTTCCATACCTTTAGCAACAAATAATGCAAATTTTAATTAAAGACAAGGTTAAGGTTAATTATTATTGTCTGATAAATATAAAATTAATAAACTTTATATTATAATTAACCACTAATATTATAATAAATTAATTTTATCATCACTTAATATTAGTCATTAAAAAATACTTAAAAAACCAAATTAATTATACATTAGTCTTAATTAATAGTAATATAGATCTATAATAATAAAAATGCATGAACAGACTCAGGGAAATACTAATTAATTAAATAAATTTTAAAAAAATGAAAATCAATTGCTTACCGACGAGCGCCAGAATAACCGTCAGGAGAGGAGCGGCCGGAAAGGTTTGGTATGAAAGATGCATATTTGACTCGAGAGTATGCATGAGCTGAGCTACAAATACAAACACCTGGTGATGACTGTACCGCAATAGCATCGATATGGACAGTGTGAAGACGAGCATAATAAATGCGGCCGCAATATATGATGCTCTGGTCATCCATATGTTGACAAACCGGTAGTGTTCACCGGTTATGACATTTCGCACATATCCTTTGTTGTTCTCCTTTTCAGCCAAATTCTTGAGACTACCCATCAGTATATCGTCATATCCCAAAAAGTTTGATAGTAGTGTACGTGAAAGTACATCACCAAAGCATCGGTTGTCGCGCGGATCAAGTGTGACCACTTTAATGGGTATTTTGAGCCTTTGTCGAGCACGTGCTGATAACCGTAAGAAGCCGTACTCCAATGAATACTCTATTATGTAGCTCTCGTGTGGCCAAACTTTTATCGGTAAATTTAAAATAAATTAAATTATAAATATCTAAAACATATATAAATGCAAATCCTAATTACCTGCCCGTGCAATCATCTGTAAGTGCGATACCTTTTCCTTGAGTGGTTGAGGATAGCCATTGTTTTCGTTATAATTGTTGATATGATTGCTGTAATCAATCAAATCTTTAACACCGAGTGAACTAATATTAGAGTAATAGTAGACATCGTTTGAGTCAACGGAAGTCGTGTCTACATCCGAGTCGGACTCTGCAGTGTTTACATCGATAAATGACTTCATTTTATATCTTTTAGTATCGATAACATTGTCGACATCACCATTCAATTTGAACTTATCGTCACTGATGCTCAACTCGAGATCAATTGTCGAGTTTTTGGGGCCGTTGTTGTCAACAATATTATTATTATTGTTTATAGTGTTCAACGATTCATCATCGACTACAATGTCGTCGTGCGGATCGTTCAGTATTTGAACCCGAAGTATGCCATCGCGCGGCCACTCGTTATTGATGTGATCCAAACAGTTTATCGGTGTCCGGATAAACGACACGTGTAGATGACATAAAACAAAGAGTGATAGCAATGCCGTCAATAGTACGGACCACTCTATCAGTCTGCGGACAGTGTGTGGCACTGCAAGAGCATAGATGACGGCTATCTTGAAGAACAACACACGAAACAGTCGACTCCTGATCCGCAACAGAGATACATCTGTGGCCTCTTCGTTGTTGTTGTTATTGTTATTTATGTTAATATTGTTGATATTGATGGCAATGTTGGGCTGTCGACCGTTGACCACATTGACCGCGTCGTGTCCATTGCCCACAACTATGCGGATAATTCGGGGAAAAGCGTTGGCCATTAGGTGTTGACCAACGAGTCGCGGCAGTGGCATATCAGGTCACGGATCAACTAATTTGGTTACACATACACTGTTACCGCCCGAAGTCATCCAAAATTATCACCAATTGGTTCACTAATCGCCAGTTAATGTCATCCAACAAATGACTGGTCAATCAATTGGCAATCAATGGTGTGGTATGTCTTGTGTGACCACTAATGATGTCAACTCGTGTCCAATCAAATCAATTACAATAAAACAGTTAATCAACTGATCGTTAAATTAAACGCCATTTAAAAGTCATCCAAAAAAATGTTAACAAAACAAACCATACGTTTAAACATATGAATGAATACACACTGTATTACACAGTATTGCAGTCAATGCTATAATATGTACTGTATTTCAATGTTATGCTATGATTCACTCAATCACATGATTTCCAATTGGATTGCATTTACATTATATTGGATTTACTGTACTATTTGTATGTATAATACTGTTTCGTGTAATTTACTGTAGTTTTCAAAAACTTAAAATACAAATAATCGGAATATTATTTTCATAAATGATAAATATTTTACAAATTGATAAATATTTATTAGTTAAATGTTGATATTTAGTGTTAATTTTTTTAATAAATTTGTAAAATATTGTACATCACTGTACAGTACTGTTCAATAAAAATGATTTTAATTGATATAATGCTATTTATGAACAATCCATAACTTATATAATATTAATATTTTAGCGCTTTATTTGAAACGTTATTATAATTCATAAATAAATAATTTTAATAAATTAAATCTATAATTATTTATTTTTAGTAATTAACATAAATTATATTAAATTTATTCAAATTTCTATCAAAATTTATCCACAAAAAAACATTCATTATTATTATATACAATGTCATATACATTACAATGTATTAATTAGTATAGGTATAAATATATAAAAATAATTAATCTAAAAATCTATAAGTTTTAACAAAATTAATTTTAAAAATACAATTAGAAGTTAATTATTTAAAAAATAGTGAATAATATTAATAATTACTAATAGTGTGTATAATTAAGTTAAAATTGATGACTATTTAGCACAACGTGCCGATCCTTTGCTAATTTGAATGCATTGATTGTTAAATTTGTTGTTACAGTCATATATGGGACGGGAATAGTTGATTGTCGATTCACACCAATAGATCACATTTGGTAGACATTGACTATATGTATAGCACAGATTGGTGGCCGCATTGTTCAATGTATTACCGCAATAACGGCCACCCGTTTGGTTACAGCATAGACACCCATTGAATCCAATTGATCCGTAACTTACAAATACAGGTATTAATACCAATAGTAGTATTGATGGTATTATTAAATATTTTCTAAACATTGTTGTTAAAAACTAATTATCACTTTTTAGTTTGTTTTTTTAATTAAAATAAATAAATAATTATATTGCTTTTTATATAATATTATAAATCTAGTGATGTGAAATTAAGTGCAATTTATTATTTTAATTAAAATATTCAAATGAAAATTTGTAAAATTCAGATAATTTTCAGAATTTATAATTTTATTATAACAACGTTTAACAATAATATAATACAAATTTGATGCAAATATTATAATCTTATTTTATTATTTTTACCAACTGAATTTAAAATAATGAAAATAAATATTTGATAATTAAAAAACATTAGATATTTTTCAAAATTATTGAAGTTATGTACATAAATGACAAAATCATAAATTAGATTCAAAATTGGGTTTTTATAATAAAATTAAATATAACTTTATTTAAATTTAAGTAATAGGATTATATCTTGCTAATATTAGATTCAACATTCAACAAAGTTATAATTATTATCAATTGATACCATCAATTGAATTTATTTTATTGTCATTAAATATTACTGATTTTTTCAAAATTTTTAGTTATTTACATCCTTATAAATGTGATATATTTTATAAAAATGTGCCATTATTTTAACAACTATTAACATAATTATTTTTTTTTAAACAACTATTAACACTTGTCATCAAGATTTTGGAAAATTTTTAATGTATATAAACTTTATATTATAATTTATGGAGTGTTGAAAAAAAATAAAATTGTGATAAATTCATTGCCATAGATTAAAATTATCAAATTTTTTTAATTATAGCTTTATTTATCCTTATCCATGATTAATTGTATAAAATAATATTATATTATACAATGCTTGAACACTTGTTAATTTTAATGCCATCATTTATTATAGTATTATTACTGTAATTATTTAGTAACAAAATATGAGTTTAAAATTATTTTTTTAATAATTGAATATATTATTTATTAATAAAATACTTTAAATATTTATTAATTATTATATAATATTTAATATAAATAGATTTTGATTTTTATTAACTATGATATTATATATCATATATACAACAGTTATGTCGACAGTCTAGTGATATCTTTAAAAGTATTGAACAAATATTTGATTGCTTTGTGTAAATAAAATGATCGATAGATTGTATAAATAAGTGAAGTGCAGTCTCTTGTTGTCAAATACTATGTATTCAATTGAGTCAATCATTAAAAACATTATTGCTTTTCATATATTGACTTAATTTATTAGACACATATTTCTCAGTTAATAGTTTCTTAAAAAACAATACAATTTATTTTAAAATCTTTTATTATATTTTTAAAAATTTTATTAATCTGTTGTTATACTATGTTTACATTTTATAATTTTTTATGATTTAAGTAATAGTTAGACAGACATAATATTTTAAAGTATCTAATCTATAGATTTTATAAAAAAATTTACCAAACAGACACTTACTATTTTTTGTATTTTACTTATTATAAGTGAACTACTGTACATGTACTACTGTACTACTGTACTGTATATCATAGTTTATGTTAAAATATCAATTGACCCAAAAATAGCTAAAATCTCAGTTCAATTGTAAATCTCATTGGAAGCCATTATATCCTATAATGATATTATCATAAAAGTTATGGCAAAAAGAAATTTTTTATATGTCATAAACTATATAAGATATTGTATACCCAGTGGTCATGTAATGAAGTTATGCTTATATTAAAAGTTTTGTCTCTCAAAAACTACTGTTTCACAAATCATAGCCTATTTTGATGACAAACTCGTTATATAAAATAAAGCTTGAAATACTTTTCGTATAAATTCTTGATTAGTTGTATATATAATACATGTGAGCGCATGTCTATCCCAATATACCTACCGATTCCTATCCTATTCCTAATATTCTGTTCATTCTCTTGTTATCATTGTTTTGAATAATAACAACATTATAATGCAATACATTCATCACTTATGTAATTATAAGTTTTGTTTCATTTATAACAAATATATTTAAAACTTTTATTTCATATTAAAATATCAATAATTTTTTAGAAAATAACAATTTTTATTTTAAAAAGTTTCTTTAATTTATAAAAAAAAGTCAATGCGGATAATTAATTGTTTTCCGTCTATTTATTGTCTGAAATAATTTTAATGTAAGTTACTATTAAATTATTATAATCTAAATTTTATTATATCTAAGATTTATTTTTTTCTTTAGTTTATATTAATATTTTAAACAACATTATTATATCATTAGACTATTGTACAATGAAATTATTTATAAATCATACAACAAAAAAACTATTTTTTGAATTATATTACTGATATATATATATAAATATAAAGATATTTGCATATTTGTATGATCACACCTGTCACTAAATATGTAAAACGCATAAAACATTTTAAATGTCTAAAAAGTAACAAACAAAACAAACAAAATCATTGTAAAACACAAAAATCATTTGTTATCATAAAAATTTATTCAAAAATTGAGCTGATTTTTTGGAAACATTACTAATAATATTAGAAAAAAACATTACAATTCTTGCGATTCTTTATATAACACGAGAAAAAATCAAGTGATATATCACTGTCTCAGTTACTAACATTATATTATACACTATATATATATATATATATATATATATATATATATTCATAAAAATATTATAGGAATAGTCTGTATGACAAACATTAAATATTATACACAAACATTTTATTTGTTGCAACAAAACGGCATAATATAATATTAGTGTACTACTATATAAATAATATAACTGTATATGAATAGACAAAAAAAGTGACTCACAAAAAAAACATATAACAATTCAAATGACTTTTTTGTTTACGTAACAGTTAACATACACATACACACACACACACACACACACACACATACATACATACAATACAATACATACAAACGTACACCACATCTGTATTAACAACAGAATATTCTGTGTGTTTGTAGTCTATGTTTAAGATCAAGAAATTTCAAATTACAATATATTTTTATAGTCTTCGAGCTGTCAATTATGTGGAACTCATATATTGTACTAATCATCAAATGGACTGCAATTATTTGCTTAATAAAAGGTTAGCTTAATTTTACTTTTACTTTTTTATTTAGTTTTTTTTTGTTTCGCTACTACTTTTATACTGTCATTGATCTAAAAAAAACTAACAAAATAGACAACATAACTATGATAATATGTAGAGCAATGTACAGTACTATACTGTAGTTAAATTATATGTAATTCATAATAATCATTGTTAACTTTTATACATTTTTTTATTTATTATATTATATTATACTGTATTATTGATATACAACTACACTGTACTGTACTGTATATTGTATTTATTGAAAATAATATCTATTGTATTAAACCAATATAAGCAATACTTTTATAGAAAATAGCTTTTACTTAAAGTTCTTTATGTTTAAGTTTTTGTGTTATGACTGAAAAAATCTATTTTTGTTTAAAAATAATTTGAAAATTTTCTATTTATCAACATTACAAAAACCAAACAATATTTCAAAGACGATAATACGTTTAAAAGATTTAAAATAGTAACTAAAAACAATAATAATAAAATTTACTGTATTTTAAATTATTTATACAGTTTATTTTTAAAACAAATATTTGCACCAAATCTGTGATTATAAATGTTAGTTGACTCTGATAACTTTGCTAAATAAACAAAAAAAATAAAAACTTTTAAAAAATATTTTTATTGATAAAGTTTATACTGTATAAACATATTATAATTATTATATGAAAATACACTTATGAATTTAATAATAACTATTTCTATATAGTTTAGTATATATACTGTAATAAAAATATTTAAAATATTTTGGAACATTAAAATTTTTATTGTATAGATATAATTTAATTATTAAAATTATGATTATAATTAAAAAATACAAATTAATTCTTATCATATTTAGGAATTTATTTCAAAATAAATATTTAAATTGAAATGAATATAAAGTTAAAAATCAATATAAACACACCGTATATATAGTAAAAATAATACAGAATATCATACATTAAATCAGTAAAATATTTTTTATATTTCTAGTTTATATCATATACTGTAAGCATATACTATATGCTTATATTACGTAAAAATATAGTAAATTGTTTTTTATATTTTTATTATTTCAAAAATGATTATATGGTTTCCCATAATTTTTGGCAATTTTCTATTTAAACGCTAGTATATCGCATTAAATAGTTTTATTTTTGATTGGAAATTGTTTTTATTGTTTTACGTTATGTGAAATCAAATATACATTTATTTTATGTACAAAACATTTAGTGAACAAAATCTAAACGACATTATAACTCAGTCAAACACTGTTAGGAAATCATATAAATACTTATGAAGTTTAATAATATTTATACTGAAAAAACATAATCTTTTGATTAAAGTTTAAAAAACTTATTATTTTTCTAAAAAAACTAAAATACACTCAAAAAGATATACACTTTTATTTTTTACTGATACCTTATTTTTGTGTTGTGTTTTATATATGATTTAGTTTTGCCTCTTATTTATATATAAAGTATATACAGTATATATAAAAGTAATAACTAAAATACAGTTATATATGACTGGTCTCTCAGTCAATGGTACATACATTTGTATTGTAGGAGTGTTTGACTCCTTTTTTGAAAAATGACTTTCAATTCCATTATTCCCTTTATTTTTTGGGTTTTAATAATAAATCTTTTATAGGTTTTGAACCAATACAGAGAAATAAATAATAACAACAAACACTGTGTGTAAAATAATAAAAATATAGTAAAACTAAAATTTAAAAAATAAAAAGCTTTTGAATTAAATGTATGAAAAACATACTAAAAGCTAAAAAATAAGTGAAAGTTAAGGTAAACAGAGAGAAGTTTCAGATTTGTGTAAACTTTTTTAAAACGAATAAAAAGATCATTTGATTCTATAATACTGTATATATATATACAATCTATTGAATTAGTTTTATAATAATTTTATATTTTATTGATTTGAAATTTGCAACTTAGTTAAAAAACAATTATACAGTATATCAGATTATAAATTAAAAATAATTTGTAATAGAAATTTTAATTTAAAAATATAATGTATGTTTAGTTATATTTTAAAAATATAACTCAAATATACAAATATTTCTGATCAATAAGTTGTGCTAAATATACAGATTGATTGGTTATACCATAGAATAAGCCGATGTTATAGTCAGTCAATTGACAAACATTTGCTTATCTCATAAATACAGTTAACTGTAATATAATGTGATTTGCATTCAATTAATTTGCTGTTGTGTTGCAAATGAAATCTTAAGACTCACTCACTTTTACAGCAAATGATATTTAAACGAAAAGCTTAGAAATATATATATTATATTATGAAATGAGTATTACTGCTATTTAATGTTATATTACTTTTAATGGCAGTATAAAAGAGGTGAACAACTGAGGGTCTACTTTAAGATTAGTTTTTTTTGGTACAACTGATTGAGCAAAACTTTTTTGACTACAAAGAGGCGGTCATTAGTTGCTAATCATTAGACATTTGGACAGTTGACTATTGACTCGACAAAAAAGAGACTGAATTTGCATCAAAACTTGTTTTCTAATGAATATACAAAACGATTACTAAATATACAATTGGGATATATTTTAAATAAAGTCAAGTATGCATTACTTATGTATAGTTAAAAATGTTATTTTATAAAATTAAGGTATCATTTAATTTTATTATCTAATATATAATATTTTTTAATATTTATGTACTTATTTTAAATAATATATATTTGATATATTTTTAGTTTATATTAAGTAATTTTAAAAATACCTAAAAATATTTAATTATTTATACGATATAAATTATAAATTATATACTTGTATTCTATATAATAAAATTCTAGTAAAATTCTATAAATATTTGTTTACTTGAATTTTTCATTTTTATAATAATTTATATTATTGACATATTTGGTAATTATTATTATTTAAAATATGATAATTAATAAAAGGTTTGGCAATGAAAGACAGGTCTCTAGACGTACAAAAGTTTGTGAAAAATGTTATTAATATTAATGTATAAATAATATAAACATTAGACATCATTGTCAATTAATTGTGTACTGTATATAACAAATTGTAATTAACATTAGTTAGTATAATAGCAACAATAAATTTTACAATAATTTATCAAATTTGTTGCATAAAACCTTTAGTTAATTAGAGCGCAAAACTGAATGAAATATTATATTAAATACATTAAGAATCAAATTTTTTGAAAAATTTTATTTCATTGCAAATTGCATTTATTAAAGTGTGAATTTATAGCTAATTTTTCACCCGTTTATTGTTTAGCCATAAATATACTTTCATTGTGTTGAATATGATTTACAATACCATTAACTTAATGATCACTACTAATAATAGTTGTATACTATTGTATAAATGATATATTTACAAAATGTATATTATTATTAATATACTGTATATAAATGTACAGTATACAATATAATATATTTATATACACAGTATATACTAAATATATAACTGAATTATACTGTATATGTGTGCACAATCATACTGTACTGTATAATATAAAGTGTATAAACTGTAAATGATTACTAGTTTAAGTAAGAGCACTAAATGACATAACTGTGCCATCGGTGGTAACGCTAATTATCATCAATCAAATTATTGTAATTTTATTACTAATAATTCAATTTTTTACAACAACATTAATTATGTACACCTTTAAAAATAATAATAATAAATATAAAAAATGATAATAGTAATATTAATTAAAATTAAAATATGTATTATATGCGTATAAATTGAAAACGCTTATTAATTATTTATTTATTAATAAGTATTTTATATAACGTAAGTTTTGTTTAATAATAATTTTTATAAAAAAAACAAATAATAATTACAGTATCAATCAATAATTAACTAAATTTCAATCTAATATTATTGATTAATAATCATTAAATATTAAAAACTCCCTGTTTTGTTAGTATTGTTAAATAAATATTTTAAATCTATTTTTACTAAATTTAACTAAAAGCATATTTTTTAGTATAAATTAATTTTTTGATATACAGTAAAGCTTATAATTTATGGCATGTTATATATTAACTAAACTTACAATTTATTATATGCCATCATATTTAATATTTACAATTTAGTAATTATGTAATAAACGTTATCTTTATTCAATTATTTGCTAAATAATTAATAATAAATCAAGTTTATTTTATTTTATTGAATATTAATTAATAAGTATAAAAATATTTATACTATAGAATCTACTTATTAAAAATGTCAATAATGACAATTAAACAAAAAATAATTTACTAAATATTTAATACAATTTACTCGAGTATTTGGTTTATAAGTTTTAATAAGATAACGACTAAAACACTCATCACATTAATGACTGCTAATTAAAGATCACTGGAAAAGTCAGACACAAAATAATTATCTATTGATTTGTACGCCTATTTCAATGAGATTTTGTGCTATAATTAGACTAATCTGTGCCTAAATTTTCTTATCTCTTATTCATTTATTTCATATATACAGTAATTATTCAAAAAGTTTATTATTAATATTATTATGTATGTATGTATAAAAAATAGACAAATGTTATTTTATTATTTTGATTATTACACAAAAAACAAGAACAATATAGATAAGAGATTTGAAAAGCTAACCCTATTATCAAATTAATATATAAAAATAAAATTGCTTTTATTAAAATAATGGTAGTGTAATGTTAGATTGTATAAAAGAAAGATTATAATCATTGATAATCAACATTAACTAATTATGACATATTAATTATATTAAAATAATATGAATGTTATTATTTTGAATATGAAATAAATAAAATACTGTAATATTAAAATTGAGTGGTTTTAAACTGTTTTAAAATGTTACTAATAAAATCTACAATTAAATTAACTAACTATTATTAAAATTTGAAAATAATTATAAAACAATAAAAATATTTTTTGTTGTTGATCTAAATTGATTATATAAATTAAAAATGCTGTATATAATTTTAAGTTGTTTAAAGTATTGTGTATTATATATGATAATATAAATACATAAAAAATTAATTAATGAAATGATACTTTGGTTTGACTGTGTGTATGTTTATGTGTTGTCAATAGGCATAACCTGTATTAAGTTGGTGTCCCTCAATGTTCCGCAACGGGTCCGGAAAGGCGGTGAAGTGGAGTTGTCGTGTTTGTATGACTTGGGAAACGCATCGCTGTATTCATTGAAATGGTTTTATCGTGAGTCGCATCGGGAGAGAGACGAACAGGAATTCTTTCGGTATACGCCTCGCGGAAAACCCGTCAAACAGGTCTTTCCATTGGACGGTATCAATGTTGACGTGAGTTTCCTCTATGCCTTCAATCCATATGACAATTAGCTTTTTTGAGATCATCTATAGTCCCGAAAAAAAACAATTTATTAATTGCACGAGAATTACATATAATTTATAGTAACAGTGATTACACTATAAAAATAAATAATATATATTTGAGTCAACTTTTATTAAATATAAATAACATATAAAACCAAAGCTTAATAATTGATGAGTATATCTGTTATATGTTTTAAGTTTGATTTTAACAATTGTTATTTATGTGTCCATCAGTTTTAGTTATAATTCACCAAAAAGAAAACCACAGAGATTTTTACACATTTGTAATAATTTATAGACAAATTATATTAATTTGAAATCTATCTCAAATTATCAATAATTATATTAAGCAAAATTGATATATATTTTATGAGATCATTAATATTTGATGATTGGAAAGTTATTAACATTAATAGTACGATATACATACATACATACTGTCGGTCGCACTCATAAGATCTAAACTCATTTGACCCAAACTTACTTGACCCAACTCATTTGATCCAAACTCATTTGACCCAACTCATTTGACCCAAACTTATTTGACCCAAACTTATTTGACCCAAATCACTTGACCCAAATCATTTGAGACAAATCATTTGACCCAACTCATTTGACCCAAATCACTTGATCTAAATCATTTAACCCAAACTTATTTGACCCAAATATTTATTATTTTATTTTTTCAAACTATAATTATATATAAATAATATAAAACTTAATAATTTTATTTAATTATATAAATAATATAATAATCTATTTAATCTATAAAATAATTTAGAACTTAATAATCTTAAGTTATTACATATTTATTTTTTAAAAAAAAAAAACCAGAAATATTTCCAATTATTAAGTTTGTATTATTTATATATAATTATATAGTTTGAAAAATAAAATAATAAATATTTGGGTTAAATAAGTTTGGGTCAAATGATTTGGGTAAAGTGATTTGGGTCAAATGAGTTGGGTCAAATGAGTTGGGTCAAGTGATTTGGGTCAAATGAGTTGGGTCAAATAAGTTTGGGTCAAGTGATTTGGGTCAAATAAGTTTGGGTCAAATGAGTTGGGTCAAATAAGTTTTGATCAAATGAGTTGGGTCAAATAAGTTTGGGTCAAATGAGTTTAGATCTTATGAACTAGACCCACATACTGTACATACATATGTAAAAATTTATTTGTTTTTTCTATAGCTAAACAAATCTGAAGGCGGAACTGTATTGATTAGTAGTATTAATATGAGAACCGGCGGTAACTACAAGTGCGAGGTTAGCGTCGAGGGAACCTTTCAGACGGTGGCCGCAGAAAAGCTAATGACTGTCGACCGTATGTCTCAATATTTTTTTGTTTAATATATTATTTATTAACTAATTATTGCTAATGCAGTCAGTATTTTAATGCTTTTAATATAGACGAACACAAAAATATTATAATATTTACGACATATAATAAAAATATTTTAATGAGAATAATAATTTTAATAATATTTTCTTTATTGTTCATAAATAGCTAACAGAGCCATATCTATGAAATCAAAGCAAATGTTGGACACAAATAAATTATTGGTAATCTTTGTGTGGATAGGGTATGCACAGCACCGTTGGCAGCAATTGGCACCAGTAGTGCATTCATCACTTTTTATTATTGCAATCATCACATTCTTTGTACAATATTTAGTACTGATATTCAAGACATCAATAATACAATTATTATTCAATGGATTATTCATTTACTTTGGCTATCAATCATTATATATTACATGAGAAATGTTTCTTCATATTAAATAAGTTTATATATAAATTAATTCTATAAAATAATAAATAATTCTCAATAATTAATGTAATTTTATTATAATAATAACAATTTTATGCATATATTAATTTTACAATTTTACAAAATATACATATTATTATATTCTAATATACATATTTTTTAACATTATGTAAATAAATTAAATATAATTATATGTTAACGTATATGCAATTTAAAAAATCGTTTATTTATAATAAAAATGTTTATCAAAAATATACAAATAATTATCATAAATTAAAATAAAATTTTTTGAAAATTATCTTAATTATAATAATAGATATAAAATGTATTTTTATGTAATTACTAGAATTAATTTAATGCAAAAGTTGATATAAGATATATATCTATGTTGTTATATAACTTTAGGAAATTCTGGACATAAATTCACGAGAGAATCCTTACAATTCAATCATATATGAGAATCATATAATCATTTATTATTATTATTATTATTATTATTATTATTATTATTATTATTATTATTATTATTATTATTTTTATTATTATTATTATTATTTCATATTTATATATACACTATTAGTTATATACTGTACAAGGTATGCAATAAGCTATGCATTGACAACAATAATAACAACAATAATAATATTGTTTTCATATGAGAATTAATATTAAAGACCAGAATATTCTGGTCTGCGGTCCATAACATGTAAGACCATAGGATTAGTCAAGTATTTGTGGTTAACGTGCAATGAATATAATACTTTGTACACAAAATCGCATACAATTTATGATAAAATCACAACCTTTTGGTAATTCTTTGTTGTTTTGTATGTTTGCGGTGAACAGCAAAAACAAGTACAGTATATACAACTATATATATTTTATATAATAAAAGTATAGTAAATATCGAAAGCAAACATTGTATCAATTGATATCAATGTTTATTGTTGTGTATTGAATACAACAACTGTATTATATTGATATATATATATATATATATATATATATACCGTGTATACAGTTTAGACTGTTTTTTCTTTACTGAGACAATGGTTTAATGTTTAAGACATGCTGTCGTCTTTGTCCTACAGTTTGTATCGTTTTTTTATTTTCATTGAATATAACTTTTTCGTTAAATAACGGGTTTGTCTGGTCGTCTCTCTCTCTCTCTCTCTCTCTCTCTCTCTCTCTCTCATCTCGCAAATATCACACATACATCACACGTCTTTATAAATGAATCGATAGTTAAATCTTAAGACAACGACATATACTGACTGTAAATTGTTTGAAACAAAAGGACAGAACAAGAGATTTATAAATAAAAAGAAGGAGTGATTTATCGACAAATGAAAGCTTAAAACGTAAAGCCATAAGACTTTGATGCCATTCAATGGATAAAGTCTTACAGCTATTTATTGAACATTTACTTTGCATTGTTTATTGTTTGTATAGGAAAAGGATAAATGAGAGTTAGAGAGAGAGAGAGAGAGAGAGAGAGCGGGTGAGTGAGTAAAGTGAGAGACATAGGGATAACCAAAATAAACGGAAACATTTTAAGGAAATGAAAAATTTCTCTCTCTTTTCATCACAAATATAGTTTATACAGATGTAATATATGCTATGTTTATAGATATATACAGTATATATATATATATATATATATGAGTATATACTTATCGTTATTTTTTAGATATTTATAAAACAGTGTTTTTCAATGTTGTTAGCGTTTTTCAATTCACTTAATGCTTGAATGAATTAATAGGAAATTGATATCAGATTTTGACTAAAGATCAGTCAATATATAACATTTTATTTTTTAAAAGTTAATTTTAAATAACTTTGCACTTTGTTATATTATACTATCGTATTATAAACTACATTAAATAGGATTAAAATTTATTATCAAACATATAAAAGATGTGTTTAAATATTTTTATAAATTTTTTTCAATAGCTAAAAAATCATACAATAATAATAATTTTTAGTTTAAACGTTGACATCATAGGTGTTAAAATATGAAGTGAAAGTTAAAAAATATTTTACATAAAAAAGATATTTCTATTGGACTACAATAATGTATATAACTTTTAATCTCTTATTTTAAAACAGATTTTCTTTTTAAAAACATTTTTTATTATATTATTTTTGACATATAAATTATGAAAAATTGAAAATCAATAATATTAAGTATTATATTTAAGTTAAAACAAAAAACAAAAATTTTGTTTCTTAATGAAACATTATGTCATCATTAATATTATTATTATTATTATTGAGAAACTGTAAAGTACCTGTCGCAAAATGTCACATATTTGCAAGTATTAACAAAATTAAATCATGATTTTTATTTTAGTAGTGTTATAAACAATTTTAATCTATTAAATAATTTTGTTAATATCAAAAGTCATCCCTGATACATTCATTTTAAAATAATTGAAATTTATATATAATATAAATACATTAATAATAATTTATAAAGTAATCAATATAATTATTCATAAAATGATTAAACAGTTATTTAATAATGTTAATAATAACATAGCTTATTGTCATAATTGAATACTAAAAAAGTTAGTTAATATTGACAAAAAAAATAATTAAAAACAAGTTTAATATAAATATATTTTCATAAAATAACCATGATAATCAAATAATATAAGAAACTATGATTGAAATTGATTATTATTATCATTATTATACATATATAAAATGTATAAACAAAATTGATCATTTGATTGCAAGTATCAAAAGTTTTGTTATTATTTATAACATTTTTCTACACATTTTGAGATCAATGTAACCACTATTTGAGATAATCAGTAGATTTTATGTTTAGCTAAAAACACAAGTTTGATATTAACATTATGATTACTATTTATGATAATAATAAATATATATTTTGACATAAATAATAAATAATTCAGTTTTTTATATAATTTAATATATTAAATAATTAAGTTATTACTTAGTTATAAATGACCAAAATAATAGTCAATTTTTCAAAGCATAAAAAATGACCAAAAATGCCACAACCGGTATATGTCTGGATATTTTACAACAACATTGTCTGACATTTGCTATAAATAATATCATAAATATTTACTATAATTTTATTTTCAGCTAACAATAATCAACGATTTATTAAGCTTTTTGAAAGATAGTTAACTCATATGCTAATAAATAATAATTAACTAATTTATTTGATATGACGAAAATTTTAAAAAACAAAATATAATTTTGATTAATTTTTAAACCAAATTAATTAACGTAATGACATGTTTAACCATAAATTTAATTAAATAAACTACAAATGTTTTACACACGAAAACTATGCTATAAAGGAGTGGTTGAGAAAAAATTTATAATAAAAATAGAGTTTTGTTTGAATAATAATTACATGTAATAATAATAATAATAATAAATACAATGAATATATTGTTAATAAAATGCACTAAATCTTAATCTATTAGCAAGTGATGACATTTGACGGTTCAAAGCTTGTATATAAACAATAATATAATTTGGAAAAATATAATATAAATTGTATTACATTACACGCTAAACATTATAAACAATTTTGGTTACAAAAAATACTTAAATATTGGTAAATATTTCATGACTTACTTTTTTTACTTGACTTACAGCATACAAACATTCAATCAATCATACAATAACACACTGTACTCATAACATATTGTATAAGCTTTTTATATATACAGTATATCTTTAGAAAAAATAAAGAAAAAAAGTATATGATAATTGAATGTTTGATATTTAATTATTTAAAAAATAAATTAATTTATTAAACATAATGATGATAATTTTAATATTAATACTGTGAATATGACAATTTGAAAAAATATTTATATTAATATTTAGTACATTATTTTATATGAATGTTAACATTAAATAATAATAATAATAATAATACGTATCAATGAAATTAAATATAAGATCAAAGATAGTGTCGTAGATATTGACTATTTTATAAGCCTTAGTCATACGATTACATCAAAAGTGTGAAAACTTATTGACATAGCTTTGGGCAAAATATTTAATATAAGATTAGTCGTCAACTTCTATAGTGTTTGTAAATTTGTGACAAACAATACAATGGATGGCAAAGAAATCGCAAGAATTTTGAGTCCGGAATTTGAACTCATTTTGTTGTTTTGTTTGACATTTCTTTCATATAACAAATCGCTAAATGTATAAGAAAATAATGACAAAAAAAATTATTGAGAGATAAAAACCTTAATGTTATTTGACAAATATAAAAATAGATATATAAAATATATTACAAGATTTTTATCATTTTCTAATAATATAATTATTAATTTTTCTAACATTAATGTATAATATTATTTATGTCCAGTATAGTGGACAATGAAATAAACTATGTAATAATTAAATACAATTTTATAATAATCACTAAACTTAGTAACTTAATATTTATTAGTTTTTAAATTAAAAAAAATAAAAACAAGTTGTTATAAATTATAATTGTTTTAATAAAATTAATTACTGTAAATAATTATTTAAAATAAAATAAAAATTATGAAATTTCTAAAAAATAGTGGATATCTTATAACTATTTATAGCCTAAATTTTTAAAATCTTGACATTGTTTTGTTTCTAATATAGATACAGTATATATCAGTAAAAGACAGTTACTGTAAAACTAAGTTATCTTTAGTTAAGTTCGGTATTTGGATAAAGAGGTAGTTTTTTGTGGAAAAAAATTAGTGATTGCATCACAAATTAATTTCAAACACATATTTATATTATATTTAAAAAGATATGACTATCGCTTTATTCTCAGTTTATCACATAATAGATTACAATTACAATGTTTTCATTGTATAGATATCGGTATTGACAAAATTGGTGTATTATATGTAAAAAACATAATATATTATAATGAAAAATTGTCAACCTTTAATTTTAAATAAAGTATTTACTATGAATAGACAATGTAAATAAGTTTAAGTGAAAACAATATTTTTAAATTTTGTGTTTAGGATTTTTATATTGATATTTATTTATATGCAATACTTTTTTGTTGTTGATATACTTTAATATAAATAAAGTTAAACATATATTTCAAAATAGCAAACTTATAGTTACAAATTTTTCAAAAATAATCCCAGATAGATTTTTTTGTGGGTATTACTCAGTTATATTGTGTACTATTTTGTTACTATTAAAATTTTATTCATGTTTTCAATTTTAATAAAAAATCATTATTTATAATCAGAAGATGAAAACAATATTTCAGAAATAAAAAAAATGGAAATTTATTCCTAAGTAAAAAAACTCTATATTTATTTCATAACTGAAAACAAAATTTTATTTATATTCAAGACATCGATTGATAAACAATATTCAGTGAAAATAATAAACCCTTTATTATTTATATTAAATGTTTAAAAAATAAATAAAAATGTGTTAATTTTTTAGAAAAAATATACACAAAATATTTACAAAAAATTTTAATAATAATAATTTATATGAAATGATAAATTGATTAAAAATTGATATCTCATTCAAAAATAAAAAATTATTTTTTATAATGAAATTCAATACTTTATGCAAACTGTTGTACTAAACAAAATAAATATCTTTATTATGTAAGTTAAACTATCATTGAATACATGTTTTTATGACTAAAGAAAAATAAAAACATTTTTCATAAAAATAAAAATATTTAGATAAAAATGCTATAAACATAATATTTTAAAATATTTAAAAATGGTGTATTGTTTTTGATACATCATTACATAAAAACAAACAAAATGTTGATTAATATATCTATAAATATAAAAATTATTCAATTATGAATACGTTATGTTTCAATGTTTATCACAATATTTATAATTTATTTATTTTATAAAAATTAATTATTTGAAAAAATAAAAGAATAAATATTAAAATTTTTTATTATTAAATAATCAAAAAATTCTATTATATATTTATAATATAATAAAAATAATATTAAATTGCAGTAAAAATTATATTGTGTTTACTTTAATATATATATTTATTATTTATAAATTTTAAAAATAATTTTATTGATTATATGACTATAAAATGTATTTCGTTAATACTAATGATAATATTTTTATGTTTGTGAAATAGAAATAAATCATAAAGATTACAGTAATTTATATGATTTTATATTTATTATAAGTTCATAAAAATGCAAAATTTGGTTAATTAAAAATAAAAGATTTTTTTGATTTATGTATAAAATAAATAAAATACGAAATTTTTGGTCAGTATTTTAAAGTTTATTATTCACTGAATTATTCTGTATAGTATAATATTATTAAATATATTACATAAAATAATTAATATGAAAACTTGAATTATAATTAAAAACAATTGGCTTATTATGACTTAATTGTCAAATAAGTGAGTAACTTAATGATAAATAAATTGATGATAAATTAACATGAGCAAACTAAATGCAAATTATATTGCAATTTATTGTATATTATAAAGATAAAAATATATTATATGTTAATCAATATGTGTGGTGTTTTGCATAAAAATAATGTTTATTATTTATAATTATATGTGCATATAATATATTTAAAATAATAAAATCATATTATTATAAACAAACATATTTTAATTATGTTATTAACTTTATAATTATATTATTATGTAAATTATTGTATTTAATACAAAAGTTATTATTAAATAAAATTATAACTAATATTATATTATTTTAATTTGAAAATAAGTCCAATTATGTATTAAGCGTCAGTGTTGAAGAAATGAAAAATATTTAAAAATGAGAAACTTTCCAGAAATATCTAATTTAAAAACTTATTGAAGAATTCGTAATTTTAATAATTATTATAAATTAAATAAATTTTACAATTTTAGATATATTAAACTGTAAATACTTATAAATCATTTATAAACACAAATATTAAATGACTTATTATTAAGCTTAGTCTCATATAGTATTATATAAAATTACATTTTAATTGTACAAAAAATTACTTGTACTAAATTGTGATCTTTATATTACTTATTTATTTAAAAATTACATATCTATTGATACATTAATTAACGTACAAAATAAGTGCATCAAATAACAAAACTGTTGAAAATGATTAATTATTGTAATTGATTACATTAAGTGATTTAATTTGATTCATATTATATTATTATTTATTAAAAAATATTATCTTTAAGTATTGATTGTAAAGTGTTTTATATACAATAAATTTCATAACTTTTGTTATCATAACCAAAATTATCAAGTAATTAATGCAATACTTTAATATACAGTATATTTAATAAAATACTTATTTGCTGTTTTAGACAGTACTGTATGATAACAATATATAACATTACATTATACTGATAATAAAGTAATACATTAAAAATGTCCTAAAGTTATAATATTTTTTAATTTCATAATTAAATTCATGTATATTTCTTGTTTTATTTTTTTGCACTTATATAGGAATTAGAAAAATATATGTTTTTACATTTAATTATTACTACTGATCATTGTTAACTTTATTTATTAATTTACACACAATATTATACATCATATAACAATATTATTATTTAATAATTGAATCAATACACTATTATTTTTTATAATAAATTTAATCTTTATTAAACAATTAAATTAAAAAATTAATAAACATTAAGTAAAAAATCAATTAAAATATTATAAAGTTATACTTTTAATTGACTAATTAATTAATTGATTAGTTATTATTTTTATCGGTATTAATTTCTTTCCTCCATTTGCCTCCATTTTGCCAACCGATACACCAGTTATACGAATTCGGATATTTGAATGATTTTTCATCGGCTAAGGCATCGGCCGCTGTATACACCCAATGGGGGTTATTGAGGAAAGCCCTACCAATAAATATAAGAGTAGCGCCGTTGTCTTGCAATATCTTTTCGGCAAACAAAGGGTCAATAATTTTGCCAACGGCTGCCGTCGGTATTTGGACCTCCTTTTGGACGGCGGCCGCAGCGGTCAGATGCGTTTCATTGGTGTTCAGTGGGCCGTAATTAACAGTCGATACGATACCACCAGAACTGCAATCAACAAAATCCAGACCCAATTTCTTTAGTTGTTTGGAAAATTCAATCGTTTGTTTCAAATCCCAACCGTTTTCCACATAATCAGTGACCGAAACTCTTGCGCCGATAACTATATTTTGCGGCAATGCTTTGCGGACACTATCGGCGATTTCAAGTCCCAAACGCATACGATTCTCAAGACTACCGCCATATTTATCTGTTCTTTGGTTAGTTATGGGGGACAGGAATGTACTAACAAGATATCCGTGTGCGAAGTGAAACTCTATAACCTATTTATTAAAAATAACATATAATTAGATTCAATTGTCTTAAAGTATTATTTATTAGTTAAATAATTACCTCAAACCCCGCTTTGACCGCCCGTTCACAGGCAGAGACAAACGATTTCTTGATTTCCTCAATATCTTCAACTGTGGCTTCTTTTGGCACTTTATCCGCCCGATCCCCAAACGCTACAGCATTGGGACCTATTGTAGGCCAACCACCATCTTTATCGTCAATTGAATCCCTGCCAATCCATGGCGGCAAAGTGCTGGCCTTTCTACCGGCGTGTGCTATCTGAATACCGGCCACACATCCCTGTGTCTTCAGAAAAGAGGTCACCCGTTTCCACGGCTCAATCTGTTCGTCTTTCCACAAACCGGGACAACCGGGACTTATACGACCCCTGGCTTCAACACCAGTAGCTTCAACTACAATCAATCCGACCCCTCCCGTAGCAAACGATCCATAATTTACTAAATGCCAGTCGTTAACCATACCGTCCTCACACATGTACTGACACATCGGTGACACAACTATACGATTCTTCAAAGTAACTCCTCTTATGGTTAGTGGAGAGAATAGTAACGACTTCTTTGATGGACTCATTGTTTTTAAAAAAATCAGTACAATATTTAATTAATAGTTACTTTTAATTGACTGAATTGAAAATATAATGATTTATTATAATTTGAAAATTTTCTATTCTTTTATATAAAATTTGAAACAAAAATGTGATTATTATTATCGAAATAAAAGTGCACTAAATATGTTCTTAAATTTAATGCTTATATTAATTATTATTTGATAACATTAAACACATTGTGTCTAAGAATACTTTAAGTGTAATATATATATTGTATATAAAGGTACAGATAATTAATATATGTATTTACTATATATAGTAATATATACTATAAAATATTTCATTTATAAGTATAGTTTATAATAATAATTATTTTTTTTGTAATTTTATTGTTGATTAACCGCAATAGTATATGCTAAAGATTGTTGTTATAATGTAACATTATTTTTTACAATAAATATTTTATCTACTATACACTATGATTATTCATTTATTTGACATATCAATAATATAATATTACAATAATTTATTTTAATCAATTAATAATTTTCTTTATTATTAATAATAATTTGTATTTACTAATATTCCAATATTGACAAAATTATATATTTTATAAATGTTTAGCTATTTTTTGAATAAAATCTTTTTTAGATGAATAATTTTTAAAAATTTATTTAATCATATTTGTCTTATTCTTATAATTATTTTAATACATTGTTTTGTAAATAATTATTAGCATTAAAATATTTTAAGATATATAATATGATAATAATAATAATTTAGTTAACCAATTGYTGCTAATTAATGACTTGAAACTATTGTTTTTGTAGTAACTGATAGGCGACACTACTAAAGCTAACATTTTAAACAATAGTAAATTTAATTTACAGTATATTTCAAATGTATACATAAAATTAATTAATTGGACATTATTAATATTATCTAAATAATTTATGTAACATAAAACAATATTAAAATATTATACATTTCAAATATGATTATCTATTTAATTTAATTACTATTATTTATAATATTAAAAGCATAAATACGGTAAATTGATTGCAAAATTTTTGTTATAAAAAACTAATTATTGATAAGTATGTACGACAATAAAGATATAAATTATTATATATTAAAAAATTAATTAATGCTTTAATATTACAAATATTTTTAAAATTTTTTAAATAGGTATTTTATAACTATAAGCAAATAAAAACTTTATTTTTTTATTAAATCCGATTATAGAAATACAATAATATTTATTATAAATCTCCATATTAGTATTTAATAAATTTTAAAAATATATAAATACGATTATTATTTTTAATAATTTGCATTTTAGTTTTTTGTTTTTTTATTATTATTATGTATTTGTTTTTATTAAATTTAAATTTATTTTTTAATATTTTATTTTTGTTATAATAATTAAGCTTATTAACTGTATTTGAAAAAAATCGAAATACAATTTGTACTATATTATTTGTTTTATCAATTGAATTAACATTAAAATATATAACATAAAGATTTAATATTATTATTGAGCATATGATTAAAAATTTAAAAATTATTGAAAAAACTTATTTAATTAATWTTTTATATTACTATTTTATATGTATMTTAATATTTTGTATTGTATGCGGAAGTCACTGCAACTAACGTTGTATAATGTATATTATACAGTGTATAATATATATATTAAAAATGTTTTTAAATATATTGTATATACAGTATTATCTAAACAATATTAACTATTAAAAAACAAAAACAAATAATATTTTTCAATGATAAATTTAAATTAAGCATAAAATTTATATTAAAAACCATTTTTGACTAAAAACCAAATGATTGAAAGTTAGTAAAAAAACTGTCAAAATAAATAATCCGTAAGGAATTGATTGAAACTTATTTAAACCATAGATATATTGGGTTAACATTAAAGTGTGAATTTACTTTTTTGAGAAATGATTGATAAACAAAATAAAGAGACATTATATTAAACAAAATATGAATTTCAATAAAGCTATTTAATAAACAAAAACTAATATTTATAGTATTTCTAATATAATAAAAGCATTTTTTAAACATTTTATTTATACGGTATTTTAGTTTACATATAAACTAAATATTTCTCAGTGTTTCGTTAGTGTATCGTATAATAAAAGATATTAATAAAAGACTGTCATTTATTTCACTTATAATAATCATTAATATTTTATTTGTGTTTCATTTTGGGGACACATTTGGTGTGATTATGATTAGTAAATTCAATTTACTATATTATTATTTTATTGTTTCTATTGTATTATAACCATAACGTTTATTCATCAAAAAAAACTATTTGTTTAAGAATTAATAATATACTAAAATATGTTAAAATATTTTTATTTTATTTTGTATAAAATTATTTTAAGAGCATTAATTTTTAAATGTACATTATTTAAGTAATTTCTTATTTTTAGTCAAAAAATATATTTAATATATAAAGTAAATTAAGAATTTTTATTGTGTAGAAAAAATACAAATTTAAAACAAAAAGCAATTTTAACGTAAAAATAGTATTTAGTGCTCAAACTGTTAAAACATATGTTTGTGATCACATCACAGCTTTTAAATGACAAAACAAAAGTAGATATTTTTTAGTGAAATCACAAAACAGACAAAAAAATGATTTATGAATTTGTCTCATATGTTGTGAGTTATATAAAAAATATATTATAGATTTTATGATATTTATTTTGCTTCAATCATACAGTATTTTGTAGGTATAGAAACATATGGAAACTCTGTATCAATAAATATCAACTAAAAAATTATAAAAACAATAAAATTTAATAAAAAGTAAATTTCCAAACTTTTATTTTGATTATTCTGTAAAATATATATGTATTTTATCATACCTTATGGTCAATTGCATTGTACTTATAAAATACAATACTAATACAAAATTTATAAATAAAATTATAAATTTAAAATTTTAGATTGCATTTACAAATTATAAATAATTTAATATAATTATTTTAAACTAATAGTTTTATGTTTTCACAATATTTACAAAATATTAAATAACTTTTAAAAAAAAAACAATAAAAATTTTATCAATTTCTTATTTTAGATTTATATACTCTCTATTTGGTATAAATAAAATTATATATATATAACTAAAATATTGATAATTATTGTATTGATTTTACAATAACATCTTCGGGTTTAGCGAATCGACAAAAATTGAATACAAAAAGTGATCGAAAGAGTCATAAAAAATAAGATGAAGACTCTCTTCATTTTTGTTGAAATTTTCTTATATATAATAACACAATCAATCACTTCATTATCTCTCTCTCTCTCTCTCTCTCTCTCTCTCTCTCTCTCTCTCTCTCTCTCTCTCTCTCTCTCTCTGAGTGTATTATCCATGTGCTCTCTGTAATACTATTTCTATAATATTTTCTTTTATTTTTGTCTCAAACTTTGGTATCTCTATATTAGTGGCGACAAACACAGACAGACATTATATAATGTATATATATATATATATAAGCGAATCCATTGTGTATTTTACAGTATATGTACGGCCATTGGATTCCCATTCCTCATAACACAACTAAAAATACTGTTTAATACTCGAGGGCTTGGAGTCCATGTGCTCATCACAGACACTATTTTTTGTGTGCACTTAGCAAAGTAATGACATTTAAGTTACTAACCATATGTTTCATTGATTTTTGGCATTTTATTTTATCAATCAATTGAACCCAACCTATCCTTTTCTAAAGGTTCACTTCCCTTAAATAAATATTAATATACTTTATATTTATATAAATATATATAAAAAACAAAAGTAATGTTCAACTAAATAAATAAATATTTAATATAAAGTATTATATAATTTTGTATTATAAATTTTATTTGCACTATAACTACAAACATTGTACATACATACTGTATATATTGTATATAATACTAAAATAATATAACAGATTATCATAAATCTAGTTGAATAGCAATTTGTCAATAATATAAATCCTTATTTAACTTATGCTATCATAGGTTTCACTCTTTATTTTTCTCTCAATGCTATTAAAACATATTATTAGTTAGTATTTGTTAGATAATGCTATCAACAGTTATCCATCCGTTGCCATTCAATAATAAAAATAATACTTTAGTATATTATAAAACATTTACTGTATAATAATAAAGTAATAAACTCAAAATTTCATCAAAATTATAATTATAATCATTAAAATTGATTTGAAATCCCCCAAAACATCAAATTTATATTATTTTGGGAAACTGATGAACAAATTTAATACAAAATATAGTTTCTCATTATTTTTAGCCATTATTTGAATGACATACAAGAGGATAGAGATGGTGTCTCAACAACCAATGCTTTTACAATAATATATAATACAGTATATACTATAAGTTATAATATATCGTAAATACTCTATATTTGTATGTTATAATAAAATTTATACTAAGAATCATATCTTTATTACTATTATCATTATTATTACTATTATTATAGTCGATGTGTCATAATATGGGGAAAAAGTCAATATTGTGTTTATTATAACTGCTTTTTTGTCTTTTATATCATCAAATGAACTATTTTTTCATTTCACTGACTCTCTCTTTTCACATCCATTTACCCGCTTTTTGTGTCATTATTATAGTCGTATATAATATAAAAGCATAACTTATAAGACATACAATATATCAGAATTTAGTTGAAAAATATTTTTTTCTAACATTTAATGTGTGTTTCAATCCGCTCATGAATTTCAAATGCAAATAACTTTGAAATGTAGTTATTTTGTATATTACAGTATTTTCATATTAACATATAATATTTTATTAGTATTAATACTATTAGTATTAATGTTATTGTTTCAGTTTCTGTATTATTACTTAACATACAGTACATTGTTATAAAATAATATATTTATTCTGTGTATATATATATATATATATATATATATATATATATAAATATGTATTTTTTATATGTTAAAAAAATAAGTAACACATATTTTTTTTTGTTTATATGACATATTAAATAAAAACAAATTATTGTCATTCAATT